GTATTAATAAAAGAGTAGGCTCCTGCGCCCAGCCCAGCCCCACAACGAGCTGCTCAGAATAGCAATGCGCTTTCTCAAGGCAAACAGAACTCCCCAGGTGTTAATGCAAATTCACTCCAGTGGAGATGAAAGAGGGCTGCTCCCCCTCTGCTAGTTAATATGAAGGACTTAATAGATTCAGCCTCAGGAGCTGCGGGGGAAGGCTGGCGGGGATGGGGTGAAGGAAGGATGTGGCTTTGGGCAAAGAAGGGAGGTCCCCAGTGAGTCCCAGGGCAGTCACTGTCACACAGGCCTGGCCGAGGCTGCTGCAATGTCCACCAAACTGGTGTGCCTCCTGGGCTGACAGCCTTGTTTCCCAGGAAGTAGTGGTGGTGGGAAAGCCCAGGGTGGCCATGCCAAATCCCTGCCCTGTCCAAGGAGGCTGGTACCTCCAATGCCCTCCAGGGTTTGTGCTGTGCCAGAGCAGTGTGAGGCTGGGAGAAAGGATGGGACAAGAGGGGTCCCCTGAGGGCCCATGCTGGCTGTCCCTGCTGAGCAAGCACCCAGGTGTATTTGGCTCCCTGGAGGATGAAGCTGGAGATGTGGGAGGATGAAACAGAAAGTCTAAGGACCTTCAGGTTTCCAGTGGGCCCGGACTTGAACTTCTAGCTGCCCCAGAGAACAGAAAGGACGTAAGGCCATACAGCCAGAAGCAGAAAGCTGGAAGGACCTCTCCCCTCCTCCAAGGCCAGCTATCTTGAGGCACAGGATGGGCAGGTGGGCTGCTCTTTCTCCCACTCCCATTCTATATCTTTTTCCCTGTGAAGTATTCTCTGAAAAATACACAGTTCTCAAACCGGGCAGGTGTATGCCAGAGGTCTCCGGGGTCAGTTAAACGGAGACAGGCTGAAGTGGGGTGGGGTGGATGGTCCCCAGAGGACCGAGTTTCCTCTTCTCCCTCAGGTTAGGGTGCATGCCCAGCAGCATGTGGCTGCCACCAGACACCCAGCCCCAGCCTTCTTTTGCTTTTGTTTACTGACTTAATTCCTTCAGATCAAAGGCTGCCCCTTTGTCCCGGAGCAGGCAGGCGGGGGAATTACATTATTTATATTGGAAATGGGCAAGGCTCCACCAGGGACTTCTTCCTTATGCCTGATAAGAGAAAATTAGGTCACTGCTGTGCCTGCCTGGGCATCTATGCCTGGGTTTTGGCGGCACAGGTATCTGCGGGTACAAGGGAGGGCTTGGCGGGGCAGAGTGCAGGGAGTAAATCATTGACCTGCGCAGCGGGTTTGAATGTGACAAAACAAGAACATCCTTCCCTGGCAGCCCCAGCCCCAGGGCCATCTATCATCCACTGTGCTTTGCAGCTGGCACTGGGCAAATAGCAATGACCAGCAAGCCAGGTGTAGGTGCATTTACATGTTGGGGGCAAATGGAGGGGATGGGGACCCGGCTTGGGGAGAAGTGGTGGGCCTGGTCCCTCTCAGCTGCGACTGCCTCTGAATCACCTTGGCTTTTTTTCTGTTTCCTCTTGCCCCCAACCTGCAGTAGAGGGAGTCAGGAAAAAAAAAAAAAAAAAGACCACCTGAGCAGGAACAGCCAGGGAGGTGGGCATGCTTTGGAGGGTGGGAAGGACACTGTTACACTCACAACACCCCCAAGTTCCCAAGAAACAGTTGAAGACACTGCAGCTCGGAGGGCCAGGCAATGTGGTGTGCCTGGGCTCACCTGCTTTGTACATGGCTGAGCCAGGATTTGAACACAGGCTTGTGTGAATGAATTCTCACCCTGTGGGTGGGGCTGTTTCCTCATTTTTCCCCTTTGCCCCTGCAGCCCTGGGAGATGGTAAAGATTTCATGTTTCTTTTTTCTGTTGTTCCAGTTGCTTCTGTAACTTGTTGATAATGCCAAGCCCATGAAACATCCACACCTATTTTTTTTCTTAGAAATTGGGATACTTTTTTGCTTCTATTCTTCATGTTATTGGGGCAACATCCCTGAGGATCTCAGAGATATCACTGCTAGCTGTGTTGATGTCTTTTTGGGGGCAGGGGAGGGCACCTGGCCCTAGGGGGAAAACAGGTTGAGTGTATACTCCCAGCAGCTCACTGGACCTTGCCAAAGGCTAAGGTCACTGGGCAGGCACACCCCCAATTCCTCTCAGTAAGAAAGGGCTTCCAGTGGAAACCAGGAGAGGATATGGCATGTGTTGATACAGGGGTTGGGAGTTTCCCGCTCTGAGGACCCCAGCATTCTCCCTGTGGACTGTGATCTCTGTGCCAGGCTAGGGCTGCACGGGCCGTAGGATCCTGCTGCTGTAATGCAGCAAGGATAGGATGCCAGGAAGACCGCATGGCCGCCGGGGAGAAGAGGAGAGCTTCTGGCCTTCTGGGTGGGAGGGAGATGCAGGACAGGTGCACGGTTGGACACATTCCTTTCCAGGGAGATCAGAGCCTGGATCCATCAGGATGACAGCCCTCTGTCCCCAGTGCCTCCCTGCCCCAGCTCTTTATTATCTGTGGGTGGTGCCCGATCTGCTCCTCCACATGAAGGCTCTGGGGTAGGCAGCCCTGGTGGGGACAGTTGCCAGGCATCCTCTTGACCCCTCCCTCCTCACGCTGGGACCAAGGCAAACATGGACACTCCTGGCCAGGAAGTCAGAATGAGCCTCTAGGGACCTGGATGCCAATACAAAGATTGAGCGCCGAAGGCCAGCCTGCAGTGCTGCATTTACAGCACGGCTACAACACACTAAAACCAAAATCAAGCAGCAGAACTCCACTGGCCTCATCCACACCACAGGACTGGGCAGGACCATGAGATAGTCATCCTGATTATACTGATTATACTGAGCTCACAGTGAGAATGTTACTGATTTAGCAGGGTGTAGCGTGTGTGTGTGTTTGACAGCGAGAGTGACAGCTGTCTTCTGAAAAAAGGTTTGATAAGGAACACTCCTTCGATTTTATGGAATGAAGTGCTGTCCCATTCTAGATTCAAAAAGAAAGCCAGTTAAGGCTGTTACTAGGGCCCAGCATGGTAGCCTAATAGCTAAAGTCCTCACCTTGCAAGCACTGGGATCCTATATGGACACTGGTTCTAATCCTGGCAGCCCTGCTTCCCATCTAGCTCCCTGCTTGTGACCTGGGAAAAAAGTTGAGGACAGCCCAATGCCTTGCGACCTTGTACCCGAATGAGACACTCAGAAGAGGATCCTGGCTCCTGGCTTCAGATTGGCACAGCTCCGGCTGTTGCGGCTGCTTGGAGAGTGAATCATCAGATTGAAGATCTTCCTCTCAGTCTTTCCTCTTGTCTGTATATGTGACTTTGTAATAAAAATAAGTAAATCTTTAAAACAAACAAATAAACATACAATGTTCTTGGACCTGACATGATGGCTCAGTGGCCTCACCTTGCAAATGCTGGCATCCCATATGGGTGCTGAATTGTGTTCTGGCTGTTCCACTTCCCATCCAGCTCCCTGCTTGTGGCCTGGGAAAGCAGTAGAGGACAGCCCAAAGCCTTGGAATCCTGCACCCACGTGGGAGACCTGGAGGAAGCTCCTAGCTCCTGGTTTTGGATCAGCTCAGCTCCAACCAAGTGGCTATTTGGGGAGTGAACCAGCGGATGTAAGATCTTTGTCTCTGTCTCCCCTTCTTTGTAAACTCAATCTGTCTTTCCAATAAAAATATTAAAAACAAACAAACAAACAAAATCACACAATATGGTAGCCTAGTGGGTAAAGTTCTCACCTTGAATGTGCCGGGATCCCATATGGGTGCGGTTCTACTCCTGGCAGCCCCGCTTCCCATCCAGCTCTCTGCTTGTGGCCTGGGAAAACAATTGAGGATGGCCCAAAGCCTTGGGACCCTGCAAACATGTGGGAGACCTGAAAGAGGATCCTGGCTTCAGATCAGCAAAGCTCCGGCTGTTGCGGCTGCTTGGAGAGTGAATCATCAGATGGAATATCTTCCTCTTGGTCTTTCCTCCTGCTGACAGGCTGAGGTGGTTGGGGTACAGCTCCCCCAGAGTGAGGACTTTGCAATAGAAATAAATCATTTTTTTTAAGCCTGGTCTGCTTCCCCTGAATAAAATAAATCTTAAAAAAAAATCCCATAGTGTTCTCATTTTAGGCCAAATGTTTTTAACATATACAAGGCTAGTCATTTCAAACACACGTCAGCAGCCTTCTGCATTTTGGAATATCTTCCATATTGGCTGATACAGTGGAAGCCTGGAGTGTCTGGGCACACACAACAAGCAGGTCCCTTAGAGTCCTGACAGCCACACTGTGCGCCGTCTCAATCTGCTGACAAGCTGTGGTGGTTGGAGTACAGCCCCCCCAGAGTGGGGAGTTTTCACCTTTAGCATGGATTTCTGCAGATTTCCAAAAGAGAGGGGTGATATGCAGTCCATCAGTTACAATGCCCACGGCCCACGCGGGAACGACTAACACCCAGCTGCAGCTCCGGATGCCAGCTTTCTGCGGACGCAGACCCTGTGTGGCAGTGGCTCAAGGAGGCCTGGATTGAGCTCCTGGCTTTGGCCTGGTCCGGTTCTGGCTGTTGTTGGCATCTGGGGAATGAAGTAGTAGATGGAACCCTATCTGTTTCAACCTTACAAACAAAAAAAGGAAAACCCTGTCTTCTACACACAGCTTACACACCTGTCGCTGAGTACCCTTCTGCCCCCTCCCTGCTTTGTTTTTTGGTTCAGAGTCAGGCTGCAGAGAGGAAGTGGAGACCCTGGCACAGCTTTTCACCCTTGTTCTCCCAATTCCTTCCCCGCCCCCCGCCAACCGGAGCTCCCAAGTGAAGAGGTTGCCAGGGGCACTGTTCCCAGCACGGAAGGAGGTGACCTTTTCTGCCATCAAGGCCAGGGTCACAGTTGAAGAAGGCCTAGGTAGTCAAGGAGGGGTCCACTTTCTTACAGAACCACAGGGGTGGCCCTGCCACCCAGCTCCTACGTTGCTACCTCAATGACCTGAGCTGCAAGCAAACTGAGGGCGCCCAAGACAAATGCTATACAGATTAGAACTTTTATTACAACAATCATTTAAATTACAACAGTTCCCCACAATAGAAAACAGTGCCTGCCTGGGACAAGAGGTGGGACTTGGGTCCCAAGGCCAGGAGCACAGTCTGAGATCTCTAGGGAAATGGATGGGGCTGTCCCAGAATCCCGCAGACAGTGGAGTGAGTGGGAGAGACCGACTCTCCACCCAGGATGCTTCTCTCCAGGGGCAGCGAGGTCCCAGGCCTGTCAGCGCTGAGCACTTAGTCACTGTTACTGGCTGTCAGCTTCTGGACTTTGGGGAAAGAAGAACCAAGGAGAGAGAAACCCATCCCTGGGATGACAAAACAGTCACTGAGGTGTTATGCAATGCCACGGGCAGCTGTCTAGCCCGGCCTGGTGGACGCATGGGGGTTGGGTGAAGGGAGCACAAGCCAGTGTGCTGCTGGGGCCTTGTCAGATGCACCAGCAGGTGGCTGAACCCAGAGGGTCATAGGCCAATGGCTGGACAAAGATTTTCAATAGCAGAAACGTTCCTAAAAGAATCACAGCCGCCGGGGCCCCTGATCTCAAGGGACTTCAGAGGCTCCAAGCCCCAAAATGTTCACCTCGGCCACAGCCACAGCTACGGGTTTTCGGTTTTTCTGAAAACCCAGCTTGGCTCTTTCTCCTTCTAGGGCTCCAGACCCTTCTGGGGGCTCTGTCCTCTCTGCCTTGCTTATCCTGTGTATATCTGGGGTGGGGGGACGGGCAGGTGGCTGCTGGCTCTTGCCCCTAGGGAGAGTGGAACCGCTCTGCCACCTTCCTTTTCAGCCCTGTCGGAGCCCAGATGCTAGCTGGCTCCCTGGGGGCTGCACGGCGTGGCATTTCTCAGGCTTCTGAAGCACGTACAGCAGTTAAATAATAAGAAAACAAAGCCCGACGCCGCAGTTATAAACCACCATCCTGCCCCTGGGTCCCGTAGTCACTGTTAGAGATTAAATTTACACGTTGAGAGGAATGCCTACTGCCATCAGGCATGGGCTAGACTCCGGGGAGGCAGCGCCACAACACACAACACAGGGGGACTCTCCCAGGCTGAAGCTGCACTGGGAGCTCCTGCTGTCCCTAGGGGCAGTGGGGATGGGAGACGACATAGTGCCGGCTCCCTCAGGGCAAGGTGGCCCAACGCTGGAAAAAGGCAGAGTCATCCTTAAGTTGCTTAGTTTCTGAGAAGCAAAAAACAAGGGGCCAGAGACCTACCCCCTCCTCTCAGGTCAGCAGATAGGGTCAATAAAAAGGCATCAGTTCCGGGACAGAGACCCAGCACCTGTTTGGCCCAAGGGCCCAAGTGGAAGCACCTGAGGGGCTCTGGTTGGTCACAGGAACAACACCTGATGTGGAAGGAGGAAGCAGCAGGAAGGGGCTCCAGACCAAGGAGTGAGCAGGCCACAGTGGGGTGGCATGGCTGCGGGGCCGCTTCTGTAGGCATGGAGATGAGCGATATGCCAGCCTATATGGGCACCCACTGGGGACAGGTACCCTGGCTCATGCCTGGAGGGGTACATGGAGACTCCACAGGCCTAGGAGAGTATAAAATGGTCCACAGGGGGACAAGGGACATAGCCAGATGCAGCCCAGGTCCAGTTGGCCCGAAGGTAACTCAGGTCAGGAACTTACTAAGGCCTTGGAGCTTGGCACTGGGTCAGCGAGAAATATCAGTGCTATTCCATATGCCCCGACTAGGGCGTCCCCAGGGAGTCTCCTCTGAAGCTGAAGGGGGCTAGTTTGGGGTGGCGAGGAGAGGGTGGCAAGTGACCCATACTATCAGGTCCCTATGTGGTGGAATTTCTCACCTGACAGCCCTGCCCAGTCCCAAACAGTTGGAAGCCTAAGAGCAATCTGGGGGAGGACTTGTCCTTCTCACGAGCTCACCGTGACATGCAGGAACCAGGCTTCTTCACCAAGTGCCATGTCCACATCTTCCTCGGAGAATAATGTCCCAGAACTGCGTGTGGGGTGGTGGCAAACCTTCTTGTCACCCAGGGACCTGTGCTCACAGTTCCCACTGCCCATACTGGACTGTTGAGGTCAACTCTTGGCAGTTTGAGACACATTCTGGGGTCACGTGGGATCCCACAGTAGACAAAGAAGGACAAAATCTTCTAAAAAGGTGAAAGACTGCGATCCGGAGGACGAGGACGCCAGGAGGGTAATCTCCAGTGGTTCGTGGTTCAAGGCCATTGCACATGAAGGGAAGGGAGCTGGGCTCTCCACTGGGGAGTCCTGTAGCTCCCAGGGAGTCCCGGGCCAGCCGCTACGGGAGGCTTCTGGGGGTGTCCGGCCATCCCGATGGTGCTAGGAACAGCAGAAGTGGCAGATCCGGGGTGAGGGGCAGTGGGGGGCTGGATCCCCTGCTAGAGCTCTTCAAAGAAGGCCACTCGAGACTTGGCGCTCTGCAGGGTGAGCTGTAACACAGACAGAGGGGTTCAGGGGCTTGGAGGCTGCTCCTTTTCATAGTCCCAGCTGGCTGGGGTGCCAACCATTGGGGAAAGGGCTTGAGTCAAGGGGCAGACTGTTCAAAAAACAGCACGCAGGCAGCTGGTGGTCAACCCCAGGGAAGTTGCTAGATTTGCCCCAGAATCCAAATCAGGAGGTTGAGAGAGAAGCAAATTGGCAGCAGGAAAACTCGACCATGGACACTGCCTTTCAGAGGTCAGGAGGTCCCTGGATAAGGAAGATGTCCACAGTTTCTGGGGGTGGGGGAATGATGCCACGGGGTGACACCAGCCGGGGAGTTCACCACCTTGGGGCGCTGAGCACCCGGCTCCTGTGCAAGCGTCTGGTTCCTCAGGCCCTGGGGATGTCTGTGGGGATAGGCAATATGGTGTCAAGTGAAGCTGAGGAGCTTATCCCCTCTACTCCCGTTGGCCAGGACAGGATTTCTCCCTACGCGTGGAGCTGGCCATAGAGGAGCCTGTTCTGGCAGGGCACATGGGTGTCCCTCCCAGGAAGGACTCTGCCTGACAAGAATGGGGTAAGGAAGAAAGAAAGCTCCTGGCACTGGTGCCCCTCCTCCACCGCCCCACTTGTCGCCTAATGGGCACCCCTCATTAGGTGAAACTGTAGATGTCACAGCCAACTCTGGGCTTCCCAGAGGCGCAGCTGTCAGGGGAAGGGGGACAGGCAGGCACACTGCTCCGTTTCACGTCCCTGAGCACTGTAGTAGGTGGGAGCACAGATGTTTGTTGAGTGAACAGGTATGGGCTGTTAGGGTCACTACATGGTGAGATGCAAGGGGCAAGCGGGGACAACCCTGTTCATCAATATGCTGTGTGGGTTCAGTGGACATTCTCAACCTCTCTGAGCTTCTCTGGAAGTGAACCCTGGGGCAGGTTACACGGCAGGGCCCACTTCCCTCTATCTCTGCCGCCCTTAGAGCTGCCAAAGGTCCTCAGTCAGTCCCATGTGGGGCTCTCTGAGGGACAGTGGTGGGCAAGTCCGAAACCATCACTTCTCCATCAGCAGCAGCACCACCACCTCCAGTGTGCGCTCAGAACGAGACAGCTTGAGCGCCGCCTCTGAATCCTGCCAAAGCTCTTGGTCTTGAAGTTCTGGCTAACAAGCTGAATGCAGGGAGGCATCAGAGCTGTTTTCTTCAGTGGAACCAATTTCAGAAGCCCTCTAGAAAGAAGCACAGCACTGATGGGCTGAGGGGAGCTTTGTGGATCGGAGCTTCCGATCTACAGAAGGGAGCTGGGGGCCTGTGCGCACATGGTTTCCCTGGTGCAATCAGAAGGGCCAGAGGTGGGTGGGTAGGTGTGTAACGGGAAGCAGGAGGGTCACATGAAGAGGGGAAGAGACTCAGCTGGCGGGGGAGGGGGAAGAAGGACGGGAGAGGGAAGAGGATGCTCCTGAGGGTGTGGTAGGGGTGGAGTGGGATTTGAAACTAACAGGTGCGGGGCTTGGGTCCAGGACTCAGTCTAGTTTGTAGGAGTGTCCGGCCACAGCTACTTCCAGACACCGGCACAGCTGACCACATGATCCAGGACCCATCTGGGTCACCGGTCAGCTGTGTGGCTGCAGGCAAGTGGTTTGTTCCTTCGGGCCTCAGTTTGCCTACTGTGAAGCAGGGGTGATGGCAGCCCCTTCCTCACAGGGTGCTGTGCAGAGGAACTGGGACACGCGTGCGAGGCGCTCGGTTCCGTGCCTGATGCGTGGTGAGGATGCAGCAGCTGTGATTACTAATGGCAGCCCCCTCGCTTTTTCCCTCCCCCAGCTCTGCTGCTCTCCTTCCGGGGGGCGGGAGGGGATGTGGGCAGAGCAGAGCCCTTGCAGGGAAGGAGTGCCCAAAGGCCGAGTCACGCACAGCACTGGCCTCTGCAGCCTCCGGCTTTGGAACAAGCGCTGGCCCTGGGAGCCCTGGCCACTTCCCCAGGCAGGAAGCCTGTGTTTCAGCGGGGTGGGGGGCATGCCAACGAGAGCCTCTTGCCCATTCGTGCGATGCTGGCTCCAAGAATTCCTGGATCCTCTACCCAAGCAGCGTCTGGCTGTCCCTTGGAGGTGCCAGGGGAGGGATCTGGCAGCGCCGACAGCACCAGATTCCAGCTCCTGGTGCATGTGCTCTCCGGCGGCGGCGGTGGCGGCACAGGCCTGGCCCTGGTGTTTGGGTTGCAAGAGCGGGAGTTTGATCTCGGTGCCAAGGAAAGGCACAGAGGAGAGGCAGGTACACTGGCCACACACACGCAGGAGTCGAGAAGCACCACAAGCATATGGCCTTGGCAGGGCGGTGCCACGCAGCACCGGGTGGACATGAGTGAGACCTGGGCTGCTGAACCCATTTCTTTCTACCTGACAGTTCCACTTCCACTAGGAACCCAGAAGTCAGAGCAACTGATGGCATCAATGCTCTCCCCGCTGCTGGGACCTTTCCACTTTGCACGATGGGCTCTGCCTCCCTCCATCCATGGCACCTGGGATCCCAGCCATCAACAGGGCCTCAGCAGGGCAGGCGTTTAGCACAGCAGTTCAGTCGCTGGTGTAGACAACACATCCCCTGCTGGGGGTCAGGGTTCAAATCCAGGCTTCACTTCTGACCCCAAAGAGTTCTCAGCTCCTGGCTCTGGTCTGGCCAAGCCCAGGCCATTGCAGGCATTTGGGGCTGAACCAGTGGATGGGAGCTCTCCCTGCCTTGCAAATAGTTTTTTTTTTTTTTTTTTTTTTTAAAAGAGGCATCCTCCTGGCAGGAGGGCCCGGTAGTGAAGTGGGCTGCAGAGACAAAGGAGCTGCGAGGTGAAGCCTCACCCCTGGGGGTTCTGTCCATAGTGGGGAGTCCACAGATCCATCAGCCCTCGCAATGTGTGGCCTCTTAGGAGGTGCTTCCTACCAGCTGTGGGTCACTGCCAACAGCTTCTGCTGGTCTTGCTCTCCTCAGTTGGGGCAGGCAGGGAAACCACTTCATGGCCTATTCTACTGCTGCTTCACTCTCCAAATGACCTCAACAGCTATAGCTCAACTGGTCCGAAGCCAGGAGCTTGGCCTCCTACGTGGGCGCAGGACTTCAGCCATCCTCTGCTGCTCTTCCAAGCCATCAGCAGGGAGCTGGATCAGAAGTGGAGCAGCTGGGATATGAACCAGAACCCATGAGATGCTGGTGCTGTGGGTGGAAGATTAGCTTGCTAGGCTGCTGTCCCGGCCCCAGTTCTTCTTTTGAAACTTCTTGGTTTCCTTTCCACCCTCCTGACCCCTCAGGTGTCTGAACCCAGAGAGTACTGCCGTGTCTTCCTGCTAAGCACATGGCTTGGGTCTCTGCACAGTGAAGCCATGCTTGTGCTTACTGGAGCCAGCAGGTTCTGTGCAGACCATCTGATTACAGCTCTCTCCTGCCCCACGTTACACTGTGAGTCCTACCTGCTGCTACTGCCATCCCAAGCACAGCTCACTCTGTGCCAGCCTCACCCTCCAGGGAAGCTCCTTGAGTGCCTGGACCCTGCATGCCCACTGCCGGGCATAGCTCTGAGGCCATCCTGGAATGCCAGATAGGCCATGAAGCAGAGAAGCCTTGGTGCTGACAGTGGAGGGCTGTGCCTTGTGGCACTGGTCTCCTTTGACCCATGCTGTGGACAAGCAGCGGGGTGACTATGTCCACCCTACACTGTCCTTCAGAACTTGCTCTGTGTCCATAGAAGCGCTCACCATGGGTGGGGGGCGGTCTTGATGGTGGGGCTGAGCTCAAAGGAAGACCACCAGGGCCCTGCTCAAAGTCCCCGAGGTGCCACACTCCTGCCAGTTCCCTGAAGCTGACTAAAAGAACACAAAGTCTCCCTGCAAGGCCCGGGCCTGACCAGCTGCTCTCTTCCAGCTGTCGCCTCACATCTGATTAGAATCAGCCGTGTGAATAATACGGGAGGAATTAAGTTCTCTGCCGACTGAACTGACTGTTCGCGTCTGTCACTAATCCAATTCCACTCCAAGGAGGCCGATTTCCTTTTTTCCTTCTGCGGCATGTCTGTTTTTATCTTACGGGGCCCCGCCTCCACACCCAGGGTCCACCTACTGGGGCCTAGTTGCTCCTTCCTGTCCAATATCCACAGACTTGACCCTGGCGGTCACCTTTCCTCTTACCTGCTTCTTCACCACCTCGCTAGTTGTCTATGACAGCTACCAGGCTGTGCCAGCGCAGGAGACAAAACACTTGGCAGAGACAGGGCTCCTTGCGCTCCCCAAACTGTGTGTGGTGTGACAAAAATGCACACCGGTGCACAAATGAAATCAGTTCGGATTCGGGAAGCACATCTGTCTCCTTAAAAAGACAGGAGGCTGGCTCCTGTCGACCCTAGGTAAGGGCCTGGTACCCAGCCACTTCTCCTAACCCAGACACCCAATCTGCGGATTTAGCCAGTTCCTGCTCACTGCTTCGACTCGAGATACTCCTGAGAGATGGCCTCAGGACCTACAGGTAGCAAACCTGGAAGGCAACCATGACAGAAGCTCCTTGGCCTGGCAGCAGTAGGTGGTGCAGGGCTGCCAGCAAGCCGGACTCCTGCGATGTCGGTCTCGAGAGCGCCCCCTGCTGGAAACCACCGCCTGAGGCTGGCTGCCAACTCTCCTTTCAGCTCTCCTCTAAAAGTCCTTTTTGGAGGGGGATTGTTTCCCAAAGTGATGGGAGGGTAAGGAAATGTATTCAGCCACTAAGCCTGCAGCAGCAAGGCTGCTTGATTAAGAATGAATTACACTTTCATCAGCACAGGGAGAAAATTGATTCACAAGGCTGCATTGTGATCATCTTGTTCCTAAAGCAAAGGGGAGCGGCAGGGGAGGGGGGCAGGCAGGACACAGAGCCACTTGGGCTATCAGTGGGGAGAGAGAGGAAGCTTCGCAATTAAGCTGGAAGAGCAAAACTAATCAGAGTGCCAGGATTCCTTCAACTAGTCCCTGGGGGCCTTGCCTCGATCTGGTTCATCCCTGAGGGGCGGCGGGGGGGGGGGGGGGGAGGAAGGAAGAGAGGAGGGTTGGGATAGGGCCATCTAATTCCTTTTAAATAATCAGAGCCACAGCCCTGAACCCTTTTTAGATACTAACCTAATAACTCCTGGAGCTGAAGCTCTGCTTGTCCCATAAAAATGCAGTGGAATTGAAACACCAGCCCTAAAATTATGTTATACTTCCTCTCTCTTTGCCACTACATACTGAAAATGAAGGAATAGGGTGTGTGTGTGTGGGGGGGGCGGAGGGAGGGATTGGGGGCTGGGATGCAAAAGGACATGCCAATTCTCTGGCACACACGCACACACAGATCCACGGCAGACAGCGGATTCCGGAGCAGAAAGGTGATAGCCGGCTCCTGCAGCAGCAAATTCCGGCAGAATCGCAGGTTGGAGAGGAGGGGTGTGAGAGAGCAATATCGCCCCCTCCCCACGGGAGCCGAGGGGGAGGGGTGGTGCGGCTGTGCTGCAGTCTTTCTGGGGACAGCTCTGCACCCAGATGCCATCTGGAGACACGCACGGGGAGCGAGCCATCCGCACGCATGCTGCTCCCCCGCACAGGGGTGGAAGGGAGAGCCCAAGCCAGCCCAATGAACAAATCCAATTTGGAATTAGCTGCTTGATCTGTTCTGGAGAGAAATCAGCCAGGGAGACCCCACTGCAGAGGGGGCAGGGAAGGGGGGCTCTTTTGGGTATTAATCCTTTAGAGACCAGAAAGGAGCAAGAAGATGCCTAAAAATGCCTTTGTCTCCGGCTGGCCCTGGTGACACTGGCGGGGGCCCTGGGCTACTCTGTGCCTCTGGCTGACAAATGGACTCATCTGCCTGATTCTCCTCAGCAGACAGGTGGAGTCTAAATGGTACTGGAGGAGCACTCTGGGCCAGTGCCTTAGGAGCACGGTGCAGATCCACGGATTCTGCTTTACAATGGCCAATATCAACACGGAAATCACAGCCAGGACTGTAGGCAAGAGTCCACACGCTGGCTCTTCTCTCCTGCTGGTACAGGGGCGGATCAGGTGCAGGTGGAGAGCTACATGGTGATACATCTCAGCAGGGACCAGATGGGGTGCCTTCCTGCCTTAAATCAGGCTCGGTGCAGCCCTTGGGCACATTCACACAGCCTGTGACATCTTCGGTGGGCTTTTGGGGTTCAAGAACAACCCCTGGCCTAGTGAAGTCACTCCACCGTGAACAGAACTGGGACCTGGACTTTTGGAAAAGAGGCCGCCAGGACATTGTCCGCAGAGAGCTACAGCAAATGAGGGAGAAAATCATACAGGAGATACCTAGACATTTAATGTATGTGTGCATATGCATGTGTGTGTGTGTGCATGCGTGCGTGCAGTGTGAGGCAGGTACCAGTGGCCTTGAGGGATGAGCCCAGTGTATCTCACCCAGGAAAGGCACTACAGAGTTCAGCCAGGATTTCCCAATGCCTTCCATGAGCTTCTGTAGAACCAGGAGCCAGGAGAAGGGCTTGGATTGCTTCTGCCATTTCTTTTAGGTGTTCTACATAGGGCATCCACTCCCTCACTGCCTCCCCCTCCCTGTCCCCACTCTGTGGTGTTTCCAGCCACAATGGTGACACAACGGGAAGCTTCCGGAGCCCAGGAGGCCACAAGTACTGCTTCTCTTCGTCAGGGCTGTGGATACTCTACCAGCTAAAATTCTCTAAACGTAAAGTAAAGTAAGCTAAGCCACTGGGCCCACTGGGGATACAAGAAGGCCAGGCATATTAACCACATATTAAACACAAGCAATTTAGCGGTGGCTTCAAGCCTGACGCTGGAGACCAGTCACCAGAGAGGGAGGCTCTGGCGGCTGGCTTTAACTGTGGGAGACGCCTTTCACACGCCTTCTGTTTCTCCCTGTGTGTTTTCAGTGTTCAGCTTCCCCAGTCCTGCACCTGCAAGGGGACCCCACCCATTGGCCTTTTGTCTTCCTGATCCAAGAGAGGCAGCTGGAGCTTCACACACGTGTCAAGGCTGTTCCCGATCCTCTGCTGAACCACGGCTGGTCTGACAGCTCAAACCGTCTCCTAATGAAATCGGCTCTCAAAGCTCCAACAACCTCCATGATTTCTCATCATGCCAATTTCCTTTGAAATCCTCTGCTCCCTTGGAGACCACTCAAATGACAGCTTGTTTGCTGGCCAGCTCAGGATCGAGAGATCGAGACTGGGTCCCTTGAGAGGCATGAAAGCAAGACTCTGAAGTGTGCGGGCTCCAGGGGCCGCAGTTTCCCCTTTGAGATAAGACCCAGCTAAGCCATACCCAGCCACCGCTCTTGTCCTCAGTTCAGTGGCCCTAGGGCAAGAAGCTCAGGGCCCAAGGCACCCTGTGTCCTGGCCCACTGGGCTCAGATGCCAGAACATGTGTCACTGCCTGAGAGAACTAAGCAAATCCAGGCTCCCCAGGGTGCCTTTTGATCACTGGTGCCACTCGTTCAGATCACATGTCACTCCAGTCACGCCAATCATTAATTGGGAGAAATGGAAACGGGAAACATATTCTTGCAAACTCCCGGCACATGTTAGAAGGAACCAGTGAGTTAACAGTGGTTTTTCAAAAGTTTTTCTCTCCCAGCCACCTGGCTGTAAGCACAATGAATGAATTGGCTTCTCACCAAGGTGGGTGTAAATGCGGCAGGGCACCCCAACAACACCTCTCTCACCACATGCTCACCAGCATCTCGGTCTCAATTTACACCGCCAAGCCTTGCCTGCACTCTGGCTGTGCCCTGGGTGCTTTGCCTGTGATCTCTCATTTAATCTTCACAGGAGTCCTGGGGTAAAAAGACCATTCACCTGTTGCAGGTGAGGTCGCTGGACCCCAGAAGAGGGTCAGAATGATAAAGGAAGTAACGCGGCAGTGGTGACCTTGGCTAGCCAGGTTGGATCCACTCTTGGCATTTGGGAACACCACTGCCCAGGTCTAGAAAACAAAGTGCATCAAAGCCTCCTGCAAGGCAAAAAAACTGCCACTAGTTAATCTAGTGATGCAGTCATACTAACAGCCAAATCCATGCTTTCATTAACCCTTGATTAACCAAGCATTTGGGCTGCTTGGAGCCTGGCAGCCTGCTTTGAAAACAAGCACACAGGAAGATAAGAATGAATGTTCACATTAACAGCAAACATTTCACTAAACATGAAGCTTCTTACATCAATAATAGCTCAGTGAAGTGGCCAGGCAGAATCGGGACTGTGTTGTTACAGGAACAAGGGGAACATCACCACCTCCAGGGTGCACAGCACATCAAGGGGACCTCTGATGTCACAGGCTGACACAACATGGGGCTTTCTGCCTGCCCCTGTGTTAGCCACAGCATTCAGCACCCCAAGGTGGCTGCACCCTGGGGTGTTCTGGGTGTTTTAGGGTGACTGCTGGTGTAGACTCACCTGGCTTCCCCGCCTTCCAGGGTTGCTCAGGAATAGCCTTGCTCAGTCAGGGTGTTAAGGTCAATGTGGGGTTCAAAAGAAATAGGAGCCTGCCCCCCCACTAAACAGAATGATCACGCCCACATTATAGTTCACACCACGGATCCTTGGAATCACACTTACAGCTTGCGCCTACCTTCTAGTAAGATCTATCTGAGATCTACTCGCTAGCCTCTTGCTGGGATGACAGCCACATATGGGATTTCTGTTATGCCAGGTCGCTTTAACAGAAAGCTTCCAAGGAGCCTACTGTCCTTCACAAAGGCTAAGATGACGATGCCATGGGACATGCCCCAGGAGGTTGTCAGATGGCACTGGGCTCCCTGACATGGGCACTAGCGGGGACCAGGCAAGAAGCAGGGGTAGGAGGTCACATTATTATTGGGCAAAACAGGTTCTCTCCACTGCACGGGCATGTGGGAAGGAGGAGGAGCTGCTGTGGGAGAACAGCAGCCACCATCCAATTAATTGCCTGCACAGCGACTGAGTGCTCCTCTCCCGGGTGTCTGCAGCTGCACGGCTCCAATGCCAGCCCCTCTGAGCACCTTTTGCTCCATTCTGCGGAAACACCTCAGCAGGGATGGCTGTGAGAGCTCTAACAGAGCTATCTCCACATGGCTGACTTGCACGACAAACTCCCTGCACTGGGAAATGGCTATGTGCACAAAGGGGACGTTCTCAGGAAAAATGGGTGTTCATTCTGCACCCGGGGACTGCCAAGGGGGGTGATCACGGTTTCAGCGCTCAGCACCATAGGAAAGGATAGGATCTTGAGTGAAGGACACTGGTCTGAAAGGCACCCAGACTGACCCCATGTCCATGCCAGAGTTATTTGTCTAAGGAGCGCGCCACCAAGACAAAGGACTTTCAGACAGACCTGACCGGACAAGAAGCCATGACCTTCCGCAGCCCAACAACAACACCAGGAGGGAGGGATGACCTACAGCCCCCTGACATGCTCTTTTGCAATGAGGCAGTCTTTCAGGGCTCTGGACACCTGCTCTCAGACTCAAAGCATGCTGCGGCCACAACCCAGGCACACTTGCCCTCAGGAGGAGGGCTCGGTGTGGCCCCGGGGACAGAGACAGGCAAGCTCATGCATGGGTTAGTATCACAGAGGGCAGGACCATCACCACAGACAGAGTACCTGCGACAACCTACTTTGAGGGCTCAAATGCAGATAGGTCTTCTGCCTTGGGCTTGAGGCTAAACCAGCAAAATAAGGTGAAGAAAACAAAACAAAACAAAAAACACACCGTGTGATATCAACAATGCCACATTTGCAAAATGCTCAGACAGGCCTGACATGGTGACGTGTGACTTCGCTGGTTTGGGGAGCAGTGTCTCTGGCCTTCAGATGCCCTGCTTTCCGGTGTCCACACAGAAAGCGGAGGGCAGGGGATGGGGCTGAGGGCTGAGGCAGCCCCTGCCCTGTCAGCGTTTTCCTTCTCTGCTTCATGGCTGGGCTTCCCTTTAATTCCCCACTTGCTGTTTCATCATTTTATTTTGGAAGGGAAACCCAAGGAAATTAAAGAAGCCAGAAGAAAGAATATGTAATGTGGAAAGGCCTTCCCTTCTAAGTGAATGTTATTAAAAGGAGTTCTTGACCCAGTGCCAGCTGTTACTGGAGACAAAAGATGGAAATTGGGGGCTTCCTGTCATATCCATCTCTCAGAGCTCTCAGATACAGCTTAACCACTAAGATACCAGATGCACCTGACATGGGAAGACAATTTAACCATTAACATACAAGTAAAAAATGAACCCCTATCAATCATCACCTAAACTTGTACCCTTAGCTTAAAGAAATCTATTTTGTAGGTGCTAATGGTATCCTGGGCTACCAGTTAAAGTCTGGACCATTCTGCTTTGCCCAAATAAGGCAAAGATAACTTGGGCTGATAATTAAAAGGAAATTTAACTTCTACATGTCTAAGATGCCGAAAGCTCAAAATAACAATAGAAAAAGATAGGGAATTATAGGCAATATAAATGAAGTCTCATAAAAAAAAATTTAAGTTTCTCTTAGGCACTTGCCTTTTATGTATAAAAAAGAAGCTAAAAATTCAGAATTTGGTTTTCTAAATAAGCAAGGACAGAATTTCATAGGTCCTGCCACTTAAAAAACACAAAAGGACTAGAAGGGAGTCCTTACTCGGCAGTCTCCATTTCATTTTGCTTTCTCATTAAACAAGGCAGCTCCCCGGGCATAATTCCCTTTGGCTTAAAAGACAGAACCACTTTACTGCTAAGTGATGGATCAAAACTCGTCCTCTAACGGGCACTCATTTCATCAGAGCTTTTAACACAAGCTTCACTTCCATCAACTCAATGGGTTCATGGTCACTGGCAGATTAAATTCCCTTTCTGGCAGGAGTCGAAAAATTCCCTCAACTAAGGACATATGAAAAATGACAATAGTCTAATGACTCGGCTACTGAGGAGACCAGATGCCAACCTCACATTTCATTAATGACTGTCCTGACCGGGAGGAGTCGGGAGACTCTGGGTACCTTCTTAATGGTGTTGTGCTTGCTGCTGCCGCCGCCCCTGTCAGAGTTCTCGTTGTGCAGGATGTCCAAAGCCGTCTCCCTCTCTTTGAGCTTTAGGGCCTCGATCTCCGTTTTGAGTTCATTGAGCTGTTCCTGTAGATGTTTGCTCTTCTCTAAGTATTCTACCCTGCAGCAAGAGGACATAAGAGTCAGTGCTCGGGCCCACTGGGAAAGACACATAGCTGACCGGTGCTTGATGAGAGAGCCTGGATTTGAGGCCAGGGGATGCGGGAGGCGGAGTGCTGGGAGAGGTCAGGTCTATAAGTGTTCCTTCATGGGTCATGCAAGCCTGGCTTGGTTGCTTAACTGTGAGAAGTCTATTTCCTCAGTGGTGAACTGAGATGCTGGTCCTAGGGCTGTGGGTCTCAAGACTTAGAAATAAGAAAGTGTTGGGTAACCCTCTGTAAACTCTGAATCCTTTATAAATATCAGCTATTATGAGTAGGTTTTAGTTCTGTACACACACACACGCATACACACACAAAAGTAACACAAGAAGCACATGCTTGCTGGCACCCAACGCCATCCCTTTGTCTTGACCCTTCTTGGACCTGTAACTCAAGTGACCTCTTCCAACAGCCTCATCCACAGCCCCAACTTGTGAGACTTATTCTCCTACAGATGAGAGACATGCACTTGGCCAACAAGAAACGAGGGTGCTTACCTTCCCTCACTCCCCCAAAGGAAGATGTGCTGGATGCTGTTAATTGGGAAACCACTCATGAAGCAATCAACTGCAAGGCTAGGGTTGGCAGAATCACAAGGAACATTCCATGGGGATTACCATGATTGGTTGATGAGGGTAATGAATGAACCCCTTGGTGTGAGTGGGTGTGCCTCCTCCAGTCATCAAGGCGACAGTGTCAGGAGGTGAGTAGGGCCTGAGGGTGTAACCCTCAGGAATTGAAGGAGTGCCTTTCATAAAACAGGCTCAAGGGAGACCCCCAACCCCTTCCAATGTGCACCCATACAGCAGGAAGACACCACCAAAGAAGCAAGACCAAGGTCCTCCCCAGACTCCCAGTTTGCTGGTGTCTTGATCTTGATCTTGGCCTTTTGCACCCTCTAGAATCAAGGAATATGTTCTGTTGTTTACAAACCATCTGGATGCTGGTATTTTTGTTATAGCAGCCTGATGGGGCTAAGACAATCAGAAAATACAAAGTATAAAAAAGCGGGTTGCAGAGCAGAACATAGCCTCATTGCTCTGATCTCAAACACATAAACGTGGCTCTTTGGGTAACAGTGAGTAGAGCCCACACAGTGGATGCTGCTGTGACAGGCTCTGGTTTCCCAGCTCTTCAGCTATACTGTGGGCATGAGGGTGCCTAGAGGAGGCTAGCTTGGCCCATGCTGGATGCCATGGAGATGCCTTCCCCAGATGGTCAAGCTGAAGATACTAAATGAGGTGGAGGTGCATGGGCTGGCATCAGAAGGATGAGGTTTCAGATCCTGCTCGATCCCTTATCAGCTGTGTGAACTTATAAAACTCTAAATCTGGGCCCAGCACAGTGGCCTAAAGTCCTCGCGTTGAATGCACTGGGATTCCATATGAGTGCCGGTTCTAATCCCGGCAGCTCCACCTCACATCCAGCTCCCTCCTTGTGTCCTGGGAAAGCAGTTGAGACAGTCCAAAGCCTTGGGCCCCTGTACCCGCATGGGAGACCTGGAGGAAGCTCCGGGCTCCTGGCTTTGGATCGGCACAGCACCGGCTGTTGTGGTCACTTGGGGAGTGAATCATTGGACTAAGATCTTCCTCTCTGTCTCCTCATCTCTGTATATCTGACTTTGTAATAAAAATAAATAAATCTTAAAAAAAAAACCTAAATTTGCCTTCATTCATACGAAATAAAATGGGAATAAGTGATATTAGTAGAGATTAAATGCAACTAAAGCTAAAAGTCGCTGATGTATGGGCACCCAAGGCATGGGAGCTATAGTGACAGCTCCCTGGTAGGCTGGGACATAGCTAGCCAGCTCACTTGTGGCTCTGGGAATTCAGGGACCTCCACTTAGACTTCTCCTGAGGTGGGAATCCTTTTCATCTCTGACCCACTTCCACGTACCAGGAAACAGGTGGAGGGCAGTGGGGGTGGATGTCGCTGTGGTTACGGCACAGCATGATCTGCCCCATGTGGCACAGCTGGCCCCATCTGCATTCCCTCAGCCTCCAGCATGGATTTCCTTTTCTCCTCTGTGTTCCAAAGATGGAAACCACTGCAGATCTCAGCCACTGGGCTCTAGTCACACATTTAGAAGACCACAGCAGTTGGCAGTGGGGGAATAGCAGTCTGGTTGAACTGGGTATCCTTGATATCCACAGTCCCTAAATGGGTTTTATTCTGAAAGATGGAATGCAGGCTTGCTGTCCTAAAGTTTTGATAAAGAAATTCTTGCTCTAGTGGTGAGGACAGAGCAAACCTGTGCGGGCACCAGTGACAGCCAGGCAGCTAGGGTGACCCTCCATGTCTCCAGGCTCAGATGCACTTGCTCTCATTCACAGCTGCCCTCAGCAGGGGCGTAAGGGCTACGTACTTTTCTTTCTCTATCTCCATGGAGAGTCGCTTCATGTCAGTATCCTTGAAGTCAAAAGATAAACTGTCGCCGATGAGGTTGAAACTTGGTATGTCAGGAGGCAACGGTGCTGGAATTGGGTTCATGGGCTATTAAGAAGAAATTGCATATCAGGAGGTTTGAGTGACACAGGAACAGAGGGGTGCTGATGCGTTAGCAACCTACCCTTCAGCAGCCACCAAGGCAGTGACACAACTGAGTCCCACCTCCCAGCAGCACCATACCCTCCAGTCCCCTCTTCTTCAAACCGCTATAGGTCAGTAGTCACAAAGAACCCTGAATAGGTAAATAATTTTCAACCCTTCTTCTTGCTCAGTCAAACCACAGGTGCCAACTCAGACTCGCTTTGTCATTTGAAAAATCCCCAGGCCTTATGCTAGAAGCAGGAGATGCAAGACAGGAGTCCTGCCTTTGAGTTTTGTTCAGGAAATAGATGCATCCCTAAATCATCACAGTTCACATAAGTAAACACCACAGCCATGGAGTGAGCTAGAGATTGAGGAGGGAGGATAGAAGCGAGCCTGCTTCCAGAGGAACCAGAGAACATGCCAGAAAACTTGCCAGAGAGAGGCAGGGAGATAGGCAGGATAGAGTGAATACAGAGGGAGTGCTGATGTCCACAGTGCCCATGGAACAAACAGGGTAGGAGACTGACTGGTCCCAGATCAGCAAGACTCCACTTGCACACTGAGGCGCTTAGATTTGGAAGGCGGAGCCAGAGCAGGGCTTGAAGCAGAAGGTGAGTCATTCAGTTTATTTAGTTCGATCTGCCTTCCCGGCTTCTTCACTTCCTGTTCTGCTCGTCACCAACGTTTTTTCTGCTCCCTTGCTCCTCCTTAATTCTCATCTCTGTACTCTTGTCTATTCTACTGCTTCAGTTCTCTCCTTCACCAACCACCATCCATGCCACTGGTATTCATGGGCACCTGTTTGAATTCTGGTTGTTTCAAACCAATCTAGTTCCCTGCTAATGTGCCTAGCAGAAGGTAGCAGAGACTGGGCCACATGCTTTGGCCCCTGCATATATTCTGGAAGAATTGTATGAAACTCCTGGCTCCAGGTTTTGGATTGGTCCATACTAGGCATTGTTGCCATTTGGGGAATTAACCAGTGCATGTAAGATTTCTTTCTCTCTCTCTCTCTCTCTCTCTCTCCTTCCACTCCCACTATGTAACTCTGCCCTTCAAATAAATAACTCTTAAAAAATCAAGATTCATTTATTTTTATTGGAAACTCAGATATACAGAGAGGAGGAGAGACAGAGAGGAAGATCTTCCGTCCAATGATTCACTCCCCAAGGGACCACAACCGCCGGTGTTGCAACGATCCAAAGCCAAGAGCTTCCTCCAGGTCTCCTATGCAGGTGCAGGGGCCCAAGGCTTTGGGCTGTCCTGGACTGCTTTCCCAGGCCACAAGGAGGGAGCTGGATGTGAGGTGGAGCTGCCGGGATTAGAACCGGCACTCATATGGAATCCCGATGCTTTCAAGGCGAGGACTTTAGGCCACAAGGCCATTCTGCTGGGCCCGGCTGTATCTTTTTTAAGATTTTTAAAATTTTTTATTGGAAAGGAAGATCAGATTTATGAAAAGAAGGAGAGACAGAGACAGAGAGATATCTTCCATCCACTGGTTCACTTCCCAAAGAGCCACAATGGCCAGAGCAGAGCCAATCAGAAACCAGGAGCCAGCAGCTTCTTTGGGGTCTCTGATGTGGTGAAGGGTCCCAAGGCTTTGGGCCATTCTCTATTGCTTTCTCAGGCCACAAGCAGGGAGCTCGATGGTAAGTGGAGGACTGGTTAGGAACTGCTGTCCATACGGAATCTTGATGCTTGCACTGCGAGGATTGGGCCATTGAGCCATCATGCTGGTCCTGGCTCTATCTTCCCTTTTCTCATGTTTGCAAGTTTCTAGAAGGAGGGATGTACATCCATTTCCCATTGTGGTCTCCTCTGGGAGACCAAGGTGGAGTTCCTGGCTCCTAATTTCAGCCTAGCCCAGCCCTGGCTGTTGAGGCCATTCAGGTAGTGAGTGAGTGAACAGAACATCTTTCCCTCTCTCTTTGCTCTGCCTTTCAAATAAACACATAAATCATGAGACAGAGAAAGAGAGAGAAAAGAGAAACATCATTAAGAGAGGAGCTTTAGGCCCAGCATGGTAGTGTAGCAGCTAAAGTCCTTGCCTTGTACATGCCGGGATCCCCTATGGGCACCGATTCTAACCCTGGTGGCCTTGCTTGCTATCCAGCTCCTTGCTTGTGGCTTGGGAAAGCACTGGAGGATGGTCCAAAGCCTTGGGACCCTGCACTCATATGGGAGACCCGAAAGAAATTTCTGGCTCCTTCCTGCCTTTGGATAAGCTCAGCTCCAGCCACTGTGGCCATTTAGGGAGTGAATCAGTGGACAGAATATGTTTCTTCTCTGTCTCTCCTTCTCTCTGTAAATCTGCCTTTTCAATGGAAATATCTTAAAAAAAAAAAAAAAAGAAAGAAAGAAAGAAAAAGAAACCTAGAATATCTGACCCCACATCTCTACTGACAAACCCATCCAGATGTGAGATCTGTGTTCAGAAATGCGGTTGCAGTTTAGCTAAAAGGATCAAAGAAGACAGACTAAATCCTCATCTGTAAGGGACTAGCTAGATGAGTCAGAACCCATCCAAACAACAGTATGATGAGAAAGTTGAATTGGGTCATCACAAGAGGGAAGAGCAGCCAGAACTGTATATAAAGTTCATTCTAGTGGGCCCGGCACAGTAGTGTAATGGTTGTGGTCCTCACCTTGAACGCGCCGAGATCCCATGTGAGCCCCGGTTCTAATCCCAGCAGCTCCACTTCCCATCCAGCTCCCTCCTTGTGACTTGGGAAAGCAGCTGAGGATGGCCCAAAGCCTTGGGGCCCTGCACCCACGTGGGAGACCCAGAAAGAAGTTCCTGGCTCCTAGCTTCAGATCAGGGCCGTTGTGGTCACTTGAGGAGTGAATCACTGGACTAAGATCTTCCTCTCTGTCTCTCCTCTCTGTACATCTGCCTTTCTAATATAAATAAATAAATATTTAAAAAAAGGTTCATCCTAGTGTGTGCTTTTCTTTTTTTCCTTTTCAAGTTTTTATAGAGTTGGCCCTATGGCATAACAGGACAAGTCGCTACTTACACCAGTATCCCACATGGATGACACAGTTCATGTCCCAGCCACTCTACTTTCCATCCAGCTCCCTACTGTTGCACCTGAGAAAACAGAGTTAAATGGCCCAAGTGCTTGGGTCTACACCACAGGGGGGACTGGATGAGGATCCTGCCTTTGGCCTGGCCCAGTCCTGGCCACTGCGGCCATATGGGGAGTAAACCAACTGGTGGAAGACTTCTTCCTCTGACTCTTCCTCTCCCTCTCTGTAACTCTTCCAAATAAATACATAAATTTTTTAAAAAAAATGATAAAAACAAAACAAGATTTGTTTTATTTAGTGGAAAGACAGAGTGGACAGAGAGAGAGAGAGGGAGAGACAGAGAGAGAACATCTATTCAGGTTTCCCAGGTGGAAGCAGGAGCCCAAGAACTACAGTCATCTTCCTTTCTTTCCCAGGAGCATTACCAGAGAGTGGAATAGGAAGTAGAGCAGCTGGGACTTGAACATGGGCCCACATGGGAATGCTGGCATCACAGGTGGTGGCTTAACTCATTGCACCACAGACCTAGCCGCAGTGTGTGTTATAAACACACAGATATTTCAGCTTATGCATAACTCAGCTGAGCCCTGCAATGATTTTCATTCTAGCTGCCACCTGCTTACAACCACCTGCGACTCTGACAAGGACATCGGTCTCATCAACCCAGCCAGCCATCAGAGGTGATAATAAATGGATGTCTCAAGCCACATGGTTGGCTTGGGATGGTTTCTGATGCAGCAATAGATAAGCAGAACACATGGAGAAAGACAACTCCCCACATTTTCCCATTTTCAATCCCTGGGCACCTGATGCCTCTAGTGCCATGTGTGTGAATGTTGTGCACACACACACCATGAGTGTATCTGTGTCCCTCCTAGAATAGCCTGTCATCTTTTCTCTCTACTTGGCTAGTTCCTGCTTCATCCAAGAGTTAGCTAAGGTGTCATTTTACTCCCAGGCTGCATTATTATGATCTATTCTAGGCACCTGCGTGCACCTGTCAGAATACAGATTTCCAAGTGTGTGGTATTAGGTAGACACAGAATGTGTGCAAAAATACTTGCTGATCTGAATACACAGAGGAGAGGACAGGAGAAGGTTCTAGGCATGCTGTGACCCCATTTAGTGGAAGTCGCCTCCTTGTCCCAAAATGAGGTTGGCAGCTGGTTCCTGCAGGGCAGTAATTCACTCTGAGTCATAGTCAGTCCCTTCCCAGAACTACAATGATGGTGCGCGGCAGGGCTGTGGCTTGGAGATCCGCTTGGGTGTCCCCCAGAGGACCATGTGTTCAAGACTTGTCCCTGAAGTCTAAGGTTAATGGCACTAAGAGGTGGACATTTAATCTAGTTATGGTGTTTACAAGTGGGGCTTTAGGGTAAGGATTAAGCTGTTGGGGTATAGCCCCCACAATCGAACCATGGAGACTTTGTAAGGCCAGATACACGTAATCCCTCTTGATATGACATGCTTCACAACTGCCTCGCGATTCTGCTAGTGAAAACACCATCAGCAGATGTTGAACCAGTGAGGCTATTTGACCTTGGACTGTGTCCTTCCAAAACCACACACCAGAATAAACCTCCCTCCTTCCACAGTTGGTGGTCTCAGGTGCTTCACTGAAGCAATGAAAAGCTGACGAATGTAGGCATACTGAATATTATATTCAGTTCCACACTAAGAGACCAGAGAGAAAATTCTCTTTGGGATATTTTAGGACTATATTGCCTAGAATTAAAACAAAAAAACAAACAACAACAACAAAAAATGCCCTGTGGTAACTGACAAGTCCAAGGCCACGTGGTGGACCAGGTACCTTCTAGCTAGGCCATCATTGCAGGCTGTTTGTAACCCTTGCTCGGCCAGGCTTTTGCTTGAGGGGCCACCCTAAAGAAGTGGGAAATAAGGTCACAGGTCTAACACAGCCACGGGCAGGTGGCCCTCCGTCCAAGCTCACCGGGTATGTGGGTTTGGTGGCGATTTCCAGAAGCTTCTGCTTGGCTCTTCGTTCCGCTTCACGGGCTTCCTGCAGGTCCTGCTTCAGCTGATCTGCCTCTTTGGCCCTGTGAGGAGAGGAGGAGTTGTGAGCGATATAGACAAGGACAGGTGCAAGGAAAAAAGACTCCTTCATTATTCCCACACCAAGCCTCAGGGGTGGGGAACATAGGTTAACCCCGAGGCTAACACACAACACAGCAAATGAGGCTATGTACAGGAAATGAGAACCTTTAAAGCAAGGACAATATTCTTGGGCATTATTCTGGGAAACCTGACCAACTGAGAAGAGCAAGTGTGAACAAGAGCCAAATGGGAAAAAAAAAAAAAAAAAGAGGAAAGCTTGTAGTTGATGAAGAGGGAGGAAAGGCTAGAGGGGCCAGACTTCCTCTGCTTCTTTGGGTTGGGAATGGGCTGGGTAAAAGAATAATCTGGGGGATAAATACCCCCATTTAAAAAATATTTACATATTTGGAAATCAGAGAAGAAAAGACAAGAGGAAAAGAGATTGTCCATTTGCTGGTTCACTCCCCAGATGGCTGCAACAGCCAAGGCTGAGCTAGGAGACAGGAGATTCCTCTGAGTCTCTCCAACATGGGTAGCAGGGGCCCAAGCACTTGGACCATCTTTTGCTGCTTTTCCCAGGCCATTTACAGAAACCTGAAGGGCAGTGGAGCAGCCTGGATAGGAAGCATTCCCCATGTGGGATGCCAACCTCGCCAGCAGTGACTTTAACTTCCACGCTGCAACACTGGCTCGGGCCGCATCCCTTCCCCTTTTTGTAAACTTGAGCATGATTCCTTCATAATGGCCTGGGGTGGGGTGAAGCCAGGAGTGGGGAACTCAATCCAGGTCTCTAATGTAGGTGGCAGGAACCTAGTTAGGTGAGCCATCGCCATTATTTTCCGGGATCCTCACTGACAGGAAGAAGAATCTGGAGCCAGAGCCTGGAAATGAATCCAGGCACCCCAATGCAGGCCACAGATGTCTTAACTGGCATCTTAACTCCTAGGCTACACAGCTGCCCCGGCGCAGAGGTTTCACACTGGATCACAAGGAGAAGAGGAAAGATGCGTTTCCCCCAGGTAAAAATACTGTGGGTCAAACACCAATTTTCTTAGGCAGGTGAGCTCCACCAGAGAGGATGCTGGCTCACTCTACAAGACATAAGCTGGGTGAGGCAGGTGAATCCTCGCCTGGGGATCCAGCGCCACATGCAAAGGGGCCCAGATAGGCCATAAGGAACCATGGGCCCAGAATGCCACACAAAGTAGTGGTGAAGAAAAATGGCAGTGACTGCACCTTGGGAGCTAAAGGCCAACTTCAAACGTCCTAATTCCACAGATTCAGATACTGTGGGGAATGTGCCAGGGTTTATCTGAAGCCTGCAGGCCCCAAACAATCCAGAGCCTAGAATAATCTTTTTGGAAGTATGGGCAACAGTTTCATCATCCAACCTGGTTATGAGTTGGGGGGGAGGGTGTACCTGGCTCCCAAAGAGTACCTGGCCCTCCTCCATACACTGCCAAGGAACCCGCCACGGAAGCAGAGCCTACCATCCCTCCAGAGGTTGAGAATTGTGGCTTTCCTGTCTCCTTCCCAGAGAAAATGAGAAGTGAACCCTCTCCCCCGTTTTTTTTTTTTTTTTTTTTTTGCTTTTTGTCTTTTAAATGCCAAGAGTCTCCTCACATCTCTTCAGATAAAGGCAGCTTGTAGATATGTTCCATGGCTTCACACACAACACACACAGCTTTTCACAGAGGCAGCGGCATGACCAGAGAGGCCCACTGGGCGGCTCTAGCCTCCAGTTGGACTGAGTTTCAGGCCCTGCTCATCTGTCAAAGACAGAACCTCCTCTCAGCCCGGAAGACACAGAAGCAGCTTGAACACAGTGGCTGACGAGCTCTGCCCTGGGATAAGGGGTGGGATCACATGGCCCATTCCAAAGGCCCCTTATTGGGCGCCGGCACCCAGGACGCCTGGCCCCAGTGCATTCACCTCCGCTCTGACTCCTCTGCCATCTTCAGTGCCAGCACCTCGGCCTCTAGCACCTTCTGCTCCATCAGACGCTTCTCCTCCTCCGTCCGAATGGCCGTGGCCTTGATGCGCTGCATTTCCTGCTCCGCCTCGGCAGCCTTCTGTGCCAGGAGTTTAGCCTCCTCCTCTGTGATCTGTGCTTTTTCGGCCAACAAGTCAGCAGTCTCCTCGGAACGCATCTGGAGGAACATGATCGTCAGCCTGGGCAGAGGTATCACCTGGCCTCCCACCTGACCTGAGGCTCTGCATTAGCAAGCAACCAGGTCTCTTGGGGCTGGCGCTGTGGCTTAGCACATCAATCTTGTGCCTGTGGTGCTGGCATCCTGTATGGGTGCTAGTTCAGGATCTGGCTGCTTCACTTTTGATCCAGTTCCCTGCTGGCTGCCTGGGAGAGCGGGCTTGGGACTCTGGCACCCACATGGGAGATCCTGGGTTCCTGGCTTCAGACCAACCCAACTCTGGCAGTTATGACCATTTGAGAAATGAAAAATTTCTCTCTCTGCCTCCCTCTCTATGTAACTCTTTCAAATAAAATAAATATATTTTTAAAGAAACACCCAGATTTTGGATTCAGGGGATCCCACTGCTGAGCAATGCCTAGCAGCCTCTGGGCAACAGACGACAGGTCACACTCTCAACTTCTCAGAAGGCTGCAACCAAAAAAAAAAAAAAAAAAGAGAGAGAGAGAGAAAGAGCCTTTCTGGAGCTCCTGCTTCAGCTTATGCATTATGAGGGAGAAAAACACCTTCTCTTTTTCCCTTCCCTTTCGTCATCAGCTTAAACTGGTCAGAGGTCTCCAGCCACCAGGGGACATCTAACGACGTTGAGTTTTATTTTTGCTTTTGTTTTGTTTTCTTGGTAGAGTGAGAGAAATAAAAAGAGGAAAAGTTCTAGACTGAGATAAAGTCAGAAACTCAATGCAGGCCTTCCATGTTAGTGGCTGGAACCCAAGTACTTGGCCCCATCACCATTGCCACCAAGGTCCGCAATAGCAGAAAGCTGGAGCTGGGAGCCGGACCTGGGATGTGGGCATCTCAAGAGCAAGGCCAAATGCCTGCCCTGCTGTGGACATTCTTTTTTAAAGGCTTGCCTGAAAGAGTTACAGAGATAGAGGGAGAGAGACAGATATTTTCCATTTGCTGGTTCATTCCCCAGATGGTCACAATGGCCAGGCTGAAGCCACCAGACATGTTTGATGGTCCACAAATGGAAGGTGAGGAAGGAAGTGTTACTGGCATCTGGCTGAGGTCAGGCCCCCATGACGCAAGGTAAACAGGCCCAGACATCAATGGTGCAAAGGCTGAGAAATTCCGCTTTCAAGACAACCGCATGGATCGCACAGGAACCTAACCTTCGCTGGCTTCTGCCAGCACAGGTGGAAAGAGAAGGCACCGATTTCTTTGAAAGCTGAAACGAGATTTGTCATGGCCACTGATGCTCCCTCACACTCACCAGGGGCCTAACCCTAGGATAACAAGAGGCCCCTTTCAGACCCTCAGAACTCACCAGGGCTTCGTTGGCCATCGTCGCTTCTTCCTTCATCTGTATCAGCCTTCTCTCCAGTTCATCCCTCGTACGTTCAGCCTCCTCCCTCATCTGCTTCTCCCGAGCAAGGCGCTGCCGCTCCACCTGGGGTGAGGTGAGGGAAACAGAAGTCACCAAGTCATAGCAGGGAACGGGCTCTAGACTGGGAGAGCCCCCTAGGAATCCAAAAACACCCCATCTCCAGAGTGCCCTCTTTGGGGACCTTTTTCTTGACCTTTACTGTAGATGGCCAGGGTTGTTCTTGCTGCCCACCATGCTCTAAGCCAGCTGTAGAGTTAAGAGCAGTGACCACGAGAAACAAAACAGTTCCAGAGACTGGATCAACAGAAAGAACCCAAGCCTAATTCCAGCTGGCTAGGAAGTGGCATCCTCATACAAAGAGTAAAGAGACAGCTACCTTGTCAACATCTTGACCCCACCCCATTTCTATTTTCCAGCAGGCAACACTACAAAGTTCTGGCCCGTGGCTGACGGGGGTGTCACACGAGTTTCTCCTCCCAGAGACAGTCATCTGGTCAGACGAGCCGCTTCCCTGTTTCTGGTTCCCATGGACCCTTCCCACGTCACTGATTTCACACACAGGAGGAGTTGTGCTCTTGCTGGGCTCCCGGAAGAAGGAAGTGCCTGTATGCGATGCATCGGTGCTCACACATTGGATTTCACAGGGGCCAGCTGCAGTGCAGCCTTACGCGGAGGCAACTCATGCTGGGCGGGGAACACAGTCCCCCCTCTTCTGTCCTTAAGGCACAGTACAAAGCTGCCACCACATCCCCTGCCTTCTGGATCACTGTGCTAATTGGGCCACATGCCGAGCTTAATAGGGGGAATAAGCATAGGACAGCTCTGTTCCCTGTGATCCCAGGGTGCTAACTGAATTCAGAAAGCAGAAGCTAGAAGTGACCACTGTGCCATTTTCTACCTTAAATAATTAAAGCACATTTAATTACTTACTTCTTGCCTCAGTCTTATCCTAAGCTCTAGTAGCATAAGATTTCTAAGAGTGCTGCTTTTTCTAAACACTAAGCCAAAAGAAAAAAAATTGCCTTGGAACTTTAAAGAATAATGCAATGACAAGCAATAAAACACTGTACTGTAAGTTCTCCAAATTTCCTCCCGCAGGTCAATGAAAAGCTGGGCCAATTTGTTCTCTAAATTCCCATTGTACTATAATTTCCATAAGGTCGATTACATCTCCCATTCTGCACCTGAAAAAAAAAAAAAGCCCAGGCTGGAATGGGCATTGAGCTTAGTAGGCTCTCTCTGAGACCTCCAAACCAATGATTAAAGGGCCTCCTATTTATTGATTGATCATTTTCCAAAAACTTGTTGGTTCCCTGTGTCTTCCTATCTGAGAGCAAGGAGTATTGTTAGCTCCACTTGACAGATGAGCAGACTGAGGCCAAAAAGGAAGGTCATAATGTCACATGCTAGGTTTCGCGCCATGAGGGCAGTGCTTTCTCTACCGGGCTGCAGAGTCTCGCCATGTGGCTGCCGGTTGCCAGGGATGCGCTTCGGTGTTCCCCAGGCAGTGCAGGTCTGCGTGTTTCCTTCTCCTCCCGGTCAGAAGCAGCAGCCTACAAGGCACCTTGCTGCCTTCAGATCCTCCCATTTCTAAGCTGTGCCCTGCTGAGGAAGAGGTGGGAGAGAACTCTGCTTGCATCTGCCATCAGGACCCCACACTGTTCTGGTGGCATCTCTTTGTCCAACAAGAAACAGCCCCCTTACCCCTGGTTCCCCAAGCATTCCAAGAGTGCATGGGTGCTCCACGGGGGTAGAAGGCCAAGGGGAGGAGAGATAAAAGGACATTGGATCAAACTGGGCATTTCACTCTAACCTGCAGGGCCAGGAGCCTCCCATGGTGCACTCAAACCAGAGAACCGTGCACCCGACTAATTATCACACCTTTGAGCCTGCAAGGCCTGAGGGTAGCCAGCGGTGGCAGCTGCTAGCTACTCTGTCTCAGAGTTCACCCCCAAACACAACTGATATTCTCAGCAGCCAGGCCCAAATTAGTTGTGTGGATTTCAGTGAGTAGAGAAGGTCTGTGAGTAGAAAACAACGATGGAGATGGTCCAGCCTGCGGAAAGGCGCTCTGGGCAACCCCCGCCCCCAGCCACCCCCACAGCGCGTGATGTGCCGCCCGGGCTGACCTGCAGCAGGGAAGTGCGGCCAGAGTCTAATTAGCATTCTGGTAGCAAACGCTGAAATGCTGCCATGCATTCTATCACCATCTAATTAGAAAAGGAGAAGGCCAGGCAAAGGAGACAGACGGGGGAAGTGAAAGCAAGCCGGCTGGGTGAAGAGGTGCGTGCACACACAGTTACCCTTCCTAAATCTGTGTTAATCACACCTGACTTCATGTGAGTGCTGGAAAGACTAAAAAGACACAATCACACAATTTTACAAGGTGTTACCAGACTTCATCTCTCATTTCCAAAGTTTATATCCCACCAGCTGGGCACCAATTGATAAGAGATTTTAGATCAGGGATAAAATAAGAGTGGGGATGTGCACGACCAACCCGTCCTACGGATCCATAGCCCTCCCAGACCAACACTGGCCAAGTGGCCACATCATGAGGCAAACAAGGTCTGCTCACCTGCTTTCTAGCCTTTTCCTCCCTGGCCTGGGCCTTCATCTGCTGGACTTCCAGAGGATCCGCCTTCCTTCGCCTCATAAATAGGTCATGGTTCCCAATACAGAGCTGTAGGATCTGTGGCCACGGAAGCAGGAGAAATGTGAAGCCCACACAATTTTACTTTGCCAACCACCAGCCCACTCACGCTGCAGCATCTTAGGCTCCTGGGAGTAAACCTGAAGCAAAAGAGTATGGGACAATACCAAAGTCCTTCTGACGGGCCCTGGTATTCCTGGCTCTGGGGATGAGAGGCAAAGTGAAGGAGTCTCAGATATGCCAGGAGGTCAAACTCACAAGGGGAACAGGTGCACTTGATTGAGGCTTCCGGTTGCCTTTGCTCTCCCCCATCAGGACACAGCCATGAGGTCAGTGAGGATAGGAAACCCCTTTCAGTAAAGTTGGGCTGGGACAATAAGTTATTTATGTGGCAAGAAGTAAGTTCGATTCCTCCCTCACACCATACACAAAGCGGCTTCAAGCATTACAGAATTCAATGCAAAGAGAAAGCCCTGAAAACTTTTAGAATACAGAACATCCTTATAGTCATAAGTTGCGGTTGGTGCTGTAAACAGAGGTTTACCGTGCTGTGTGGCTCAATGCCAGACCCTCAAATAAGATTTTTTAAAAGAAGTAACATTCAAAATAAAAATAATAATAATAAAAAAAAAAAACAACAAAAAAGAAGTAACATTCAGGGGCACGGCACTATAGCTCAACAGATTAATCCTCTGACTGCAAGTTCTAGAATCCCATAAGGGTACTGGTTTGTACCCCGGCTGCTCCACTTCCCATCCAGCTTTCTGCTGATGGCCTGGGAAAGCAGTAGAGGACTGACCAAAGCTTTGGGATCCTGAACCCCTGTGCGAGACCTAGAAGAAGTTCTTGGATTCAAAGTGGCTCAGCTCTGGCTGTTGGTGGCCATTTGGGGAATGAACCAGCAGATAGAAGAGCTTTCTCTCCATGTCTCTCTTCCTCTTTGCAAAAATCCGCCTTTTCCAATAAGAAAAATAAATAAGCCTTGAACAAAGTAGCATTCAATTCCTCAGAAGAGCTACAGTAACCAGTAATGAAAACCAGGAACCCAACTTACCAGCTTATTAACACGAAGCTTTGAGGAGTTAAACTTAAATACATCAATTTTCTTATCCAGTGGTTTAATAGTAAACTGTAAGGAGGAAGCAGAAAACAGTTTCAGTCTGACAGTCTGGAATGTTGTTCTCAGCTGGGAAATTCCACATACACAGCAGCCACACTTCCATGGCTTAACATGAAGCCACTCCTTGTCCTGGCTTCCTGTGCCCAGGCCGCACACATCAGTGAACTGGGAGCACAGGGGTATGATGTGTGGGCTGCAGAAGTTCTGGATCCTACACGTGTACTCTGTGTCGTGTTAGGCTTGGGTGTGAGGCAGAGAAGCTTAGCAACTGCGATGAGGCCAACTGATGGGTTCTCCCTCCAGGCTAACACTACTCAGGAGAAAAAGCACAGGGTATAGTCACAGCCCCTGCCTTCACCGAAGCATGAGAAATCGAGCTGGATCCAGGCTAATTGACAATGAGTAAGAACAAACACAAATGTCTTCGGGGTTCAGAGTGGAGCCACTATACACGGGATGGGATTGAAGCCAATAGAGTAGCTGACAGGTATGGGAGAGGGACATTTGCACAGAATGTGTGTGTGTGTTTGTACAAGGAGGGCAGCAAGGGGAGCCTAGGGGTGGTGTGAGGAATTAGACAGCAGAGTGGAGCTGTGAGGTGACAGGAGATAGGGAGTCACTACAGGTCTCTGAACACAAGGATAATTTGATAAAAGACAAAACAAAACAAAAAACCTGTTAATACAAGAAATAAAATGTGAAGGAAAACAGATTGTAATATAAGAGGAAAAACAAAACAAAATAAAACACAGCTTTTGAAATCAAGTGCAAAAAAAAACGAATGAAAAAAGCACAGCAGAAGCTTAGTAAAAACAGCTGGGATCGGAATATTGATAAATGACGATTGCTTTTTTTCTCACTCATTCCTGAGGACACCAGACAAGTATCAGATTCCAAAGACACACTCGAAAATGTTTATTTGGGGGTTGGTGCTGTGGTGTGGCATGCTAAGCCTCTGTCTGTAGCATGAGCATCCCTTGGATATTCAAATTTCAATCCAGCTTCCTGCTTATGACGTGAGAAAGCAGTGGAGGATGGCCCAAGTCCTTGAGCTACTGCACCCACATGGGAGACCCGGAAGAAGCTCCTGCCTCCTGGCTTCCAACTGGTTCAGTTCTAGCCATTGCTGTCACTTGGGGAGTAAACCAGTGGATTGATATCTCTTCTCTCTCCTCTGCTGTATCTCTTCTCTCTATAGAAATCTGCCTTTCTCATGAAAATAAATAAATCTTAACAAAACAAAACGAAGTAGCATCCAGAGGAGGCTTTTTGTAGGGGTTAGGAGGCTGGTGAGGACAGTGGAGAGCCAGAGTGGAATATATGGCCCCACTCCTGACCCCAGCTTTCCACTACATGAGCGACAGCTCACATGCTTGGGTTCTTGTCATCCGTGTGGGACACTTAGATGGTGTTCTTGGCCCCCAGCTTTGGCACCTGGCCTGGCCCAAGGTCTGCTGCAGGCATGTGAGGAATGAACCAGCAGGTGGAAGATCTCTCTCTGCCTGTCAAATAAATAACTATGTGCCTATTCCATTTCCAAGAAAACTTAGTGTTTAAACACGCTGAGGAAGATAGATTCGTGAGTGTTTCTTTCACACGCTGTATTGTCCAACAACACATTAGCACTCTGAGGACGGAAATTGATCCTTTGTTTAACTTTTGGCCAAGTTAACTCCCAAGTCATAGGCTCTTGCACAGGCTATTTGTGAATTTCATGAGCTTATTTTTGGCATTGCTGTCAAATCCCAGAGCTGTCAGTGAGAAACCACAAGTAGTGGGGAAACCACAGGCTCTGCACCATGCCAGGCATACACAAAGAATCAATGGATCACTTAAAATAAACCAACATTTCTGTTTTGACAGCACGGCTGTCATGCATAACTACCGAGACTACTTCCCATTATGTCAAGTCAGCTTGGGGTCTGCTTACTGTGGGAGTTATTGACGTGATGGAACGCGATGGTGCTTGCCTCTGGAGAGGGTCTGTTAGAGTTGGCTGCTGCAGACCATTCTGGGGCAGAATTTAATCCCTGGGTTCTCTGAGGTACGAGTGTGTGGGGAGCCGTTCGTATACAAATGTGTGAACATGCAGTAAGCGGACATTACGAGATTGAGAGTTGAGAAATGGCCATGCCCTGGCACACGTACGGCTTGACATCAGGGGGAAGCTTTCAATTTCACTACAGTTGCGTCTCGCTTAACCACGGCATGCGTTCTGAGAAACGTGTCCTTAGGTGATTTTGCAGTGTACACATCAGTCTACCTTACGGAAACCTGGATGGTATAGGCTTACTACGTATGCTTTAGCATATAGCTGTTGTCATACATGAGGGAACTTGAAACAGTTTGTAAAAAACAAGATTGAAAGACAAAGTTTGGGATGGGCATTTGACCTAGAGTTTAAGCCACTAGGTGGAACGTCTACTTCCTATACGGAGTGCCCAGCTTCTGGTTCTGGCTTTGCTCCTGATTCTAGCTTCCTATGAATGCACAGGGAAGCAGCAGGTGTTGGCTCAAGCACTTGGGTCTCTGCCACCCACATGGAGATGTGTATTGATTTTCCAGCTCCAAGCTTTCACCTGAGGAGTAGCTAGTAGATGGGAGCTCTGCCTCTCTTTCTCAGAGAAATAAAAAATTAAAATATAATTTTTCTTGCACAAAAAATTGAAATTCATGCAATAGTTCTTTCACAATACACATTTTCAATTTAGTATCTTTAGAGATTTATCATTGATTTTAAAGTCAGAGAGAGAGAGATCTTCCATCTGATGGTACACTCCCCACATGGCCATAATGGCCAGAGCTGGGCCAGGTTGTAGCCAGGAGCCAGGAGCCTCTCACATGGCTGGCAAATTTGGGAACATTCCATTGCTTTTCCTAGGCCACTAGCAGGTAGCTGGATCAGAAGTGGAGTGTCTGGTACACGAACCAGCACCCATTTAGGATGCCAGTGGCATAGGGTCTGGCTGAGTCCACTATCACAATGCCAGCCCCATCCATGAACTTTCTGACAACTTCTTGATATGCATGGATTTTGAATTATTTTGTACAAGTTTACTTTTTAATTCCATTTTCCATGAACTTTCTCAAGTACTTGCATATGTGTCTATGGCTACTGAAACATTATGTAACATCTCATTGTTCTTTAAAGCAAAACAGAAAAACAAAACAAACAAGCAAAAAATAAAACAATCCTAACTTCACATCTCCTGGGCTATTTGGAGGAACTTTAAAGTCAAGGAGCTCAAGCTGCCTCCTCCAGCATGGCTGAGTAGATCCCAACCCCACCCAGCCCTTGAAAACCTGGTGATGCTTTTGCTGAGTTGCTCAGAAGGAAAAACAAACAAGAAACTCACTCAGGGGTGGGTCTCTGCAGGAAACACCTGAGTTGGCACTGTTTCTGCACATGGCTCTTTGCAGCCTGGCTGTGCATGAAGCCTGAGGCCCTGACCCCTACCCATGCCTGCCTTGTCCTGCCTGCTGTTCCTGGTGGCAGGACCTCTCTGCTAAGCAGTGACAGTGACCCTCGCTCCCAGCCCTGGCCACTCACTCGACAGACAAAAGTCACTGGATCCCTTTTCATTTTGGCTTCCCAGATGTGACGAAGAGACAGTGAAAAGTGGCCTCTGACTTTCACAGCAGGGTTCTCAGAAGGGTTCAACCAGAGAAGTGGGTTAGAGGATCTCTAAGTGGGGTTCATCACTGGTTCCCCATTGCTCTCACCCAGTATTTGAGTCTCATTCTGCCTGCAATTTCTTCGGTGCTGAGATTGGAAATTTCCACATATTTTGTTTCCCTCCTACATTCTCACACAAAGCAGACGCTCAACGATTCTCATGATGAATGAAGGAGCGAACAAGGTGCAGTTTTGTGATGCACAAGGCTAAATAAAAACCTGCTGTCTACAACAGCAGCATCCCATGTGAGTGCTGGTTCTAGTCCCGGCTGCTCCATTTCTCAGCCAGCTCCCTGCTAATGTGTTTAGCAAAACCATGGAAGATGGCCCAAGTGCTTGGATTCCTGCCATACACATGGGAGATCTGGGTGGGGTTGCTGACTCCTGGCTTCAGCTTGCCACAGACCTGGCTATCGCAGCCTTCTGGGGAGTGAATGAGTGAATGGAAGATCTCTCTGTCTCTCCTTTTTTCCCTGTCACTCTGCCTTTCAAATAATAAATCATTAAATAGAAATAAATTATTCAAACCTAATTATTCTCAAATTCTTAGAAACATGTTAGCTTGATAACATTAATTAGATCAGTGTTCTCACACACACACACATACTTGAGTATGTGTATATACATGTAATTAAACATTTCTCTACCATATTCATCAAGGACTAGATACAGAAGGAGGGCTCAACATAAACCCCACTTAAAATATAAAAAGAATGTATCACCAGAGGTAGAAAATCGGACAACAAAACAATGCTCCTTTTTAATTTGTCTTCCTTTTTCACTGTTCTCTAGGGTTTAGTCCCTAAACAAGCTGAGCTTCCGGATCTCTTGTTAGTCAGTAGTAAGGCTTAGTGATGTCGACACTCTTCTGTAAATACTTTAAAAACCAACAACAAAAAACCCAAAGCCTGGGAATTAAAGGATTTTACTGATAACAAGGAGATGCCTGGCTGTCATCTCCAGCAAGGAGGAGACGTGGGAGAAGGCCTCTGCAAGGCTTCAGAGTTAGGCACCTGCAGGCCAGTCATGTCCTACCTCTTTGTCGCTGTATGAGATGTTTCGGATTTCATTCCACGGGAAGGAGATCTTGGGGGTCAGCCTGTTTTCGGGGTCATAGATGTGAAGCCCCAGAGCATCCACTCCAAGCAGTAGCTCAGTGCCCTTTTTATTCTGTAGATGCAAAAGGCAAAACAAAAACAAACAAATAAAACACCACTGTCAGCTCCAGCTGAGGCTTCAGACTTGATTCGACTTTCCCAAAGAACCTGGCACACTCTGCCATAAGTGACAAGTTTCAAGAGGTCTCAGTGGAAATCACAGCCATCCAGGGAACCCAAGGGGCTTTCAGCTTCCTGAACCGGAGGCAGACAGAGGCAAAATTTTAACGTTCTCATGACCCCTGGTGTTCCCCCGGAAGATCACTGGGGGCTTCTGTCATGGGCTTGATGGCAGCAGTGTCACTGCTAATTAAATCATGAGGTGATCCTAAATGCGGATTTAAAACTCACAGGTTTAAATGCTTCTGATGCTCAAAGAATAGGTTGTTGGACCCCTGAAAAGAAAATTTTAAGTGCTGGGACCAGATAGTCTCATTTTGTGTTAAAATCTCAGCAAGATAAAAGCAAGCACAAATAACAATAATAAAAAAAAAAAATACACAAGAAAAAAAAAAAAGATAAAGGAAGCAGAGTAAAATGCTAATTGTAGAATCTTAGCTAACAAGAATACATAATTAGGTAACAAGAGTACATATGTGTGCACTGAAAAATTCTTTCTAGTTTCCTGAATGCTTAAAAGTATCTAATCACTGAATGCTGGGAAAAATATATCAAAATGACACCTCGAGGGAGCACTGGTTAGCCTAGTGGTCAAAAAGCTTGTATCTCACGTCAGCGTCCAAGTTCAGCTCTGGGCTCGGTCTCCTAACTGCAGCTCCCTGCCAGTGCACAGGCTGGGGAGACCTTGATTGTGGTCCAGTGTCTGGCCCAGGGCCTGGTCTATTCACAGCCATTGTGGGTACTTGGCAGGGTGGGGCAGGGGTAGAGGAACAGCGGCCCTAAATCAGTGAATGGGAATCTCCTTCATGATAAAAATACACACACACAACCCCGCCCCACCCCCATAAGGCTGCTTAAAAACTTATCTGGCTCTTAAGCGTGCTCCAACTCTGATGGCAGTTCTGATCAATAGCTCCTACTTAGGGGTCAAGTGCCCCGGAATCCATGGACTCGGCTATGGGATGGGTTGGCCACACCCTCACGGGCAGGCCTGTCTTGACAGCCCTCGTTGGGGGAATGGAAGGAAACAAAGATGCTACAGCTCCTGATCCCTTGCTGACAACAAGGAAATTGAACCAAAGCAGATCCTCAAGCAGATCCGCAAACTGAGAAAGCAGCTTGGCCTGTGTAACAATCCAGCAGCAGGCATCAGATGGGGAAGGCAGAGCTCTGGGATCAATCTTTTCAGTCTTTCCCACTCCTTGAAGTCAGGCGCTGTCACCAACCCAGGAGAGATTCTTCAGTGGAGAGCTTTTGTTAACTACTGTGTTAACAGGAGGGGGCCTTTGCACTTTGAAATCTACAGTACATTTGTACAAAATGAGGTATTTCATTATGTTTCAGATTTTTCTATTACATTAAAAAAAGAAGATTCCACCCTAGTATCATTTTGACCCCAACACTTCCAGAGATAAAAGAGACGAAAGTGGGAACTCAAGAATTCTACAGTATAAAGGACATTAACGTAGCTGTTAGCCTTGCCCATCTCTCAATGTAAGAAACACACATGAAAAGCAGTTCATGTTAGTCTGATATAAAAATATTCCCCAATAAAAAACTGGTTTTTTTTTAAGATTATAAAAATGTAGTTTTCTAGAATCTAGTGTGTGGCAGATGGAGCAAGAAGAGTTGGGCTGACAGAACCACAGAAACGTGTTCAATTAGTTCGACCTTACGGAAATCAAACCATTAGCAAACACGAAAGAATGAAACTTCAGCAAACAGCCTTCTGTGTTATTAGAGAACATCTTTTAGGCCCTCGTGCGTCTGCGAAGTAACATTTCAGTGTGCCTTATTTATATTTTGCTTTAAAGTAATCCATAAACACTCATATTCAATACGTTTGGTAGAAAGCAACCCTGAAATAGTGAAAAGGTATTTCAAGCTCACCCAGGGAAGTTCATGTGAAGGCACAGCCAGACCTGAGTGGGAACACAAATGCCATTCTCTGCCACTGGGCTCCCAGAGGACTGCTGACCATTAATGGTCTGAATAGAAAGCTTTGCAGAGAGAATGGGAGTGCCCACCCAAACACATCACTAATTTACAAAAGCAGCTTTCTTCGCCCTGTGCAGAAGAAAGAGGCAGTATTTCCAGGTGCTCCCTGGATTCACAGCCAGGAATAATCCAGTGCTACATTCTGAGCACCCCAACAGGTTTCTGCTGGGAGTCCCCCAAGGCTCAATGACATTTAATTACTTCTGATCTAATTGAAGTCCAAAAACAGAAAATTAAGGCTCTAAACCATCTCTTCCTTTTCCTCTTTTCTTCCTCCCTACTGAACCGTGAAAGAGTCTACCACCCCGGGGGAGGAAGAAGTAACCCGTTTTTGCGGTCTGGCCCAGATTCAGTCTCTACTTGTGAAACTTTAACACACCCGGATAGCAAAGTAGTTCACGCCGTACATCTCCAGGTCCTGAGCTATCTTCAAATATTCCATTTCAGCTTCGTCCCTGTGAGCAGAAAGGAAGAGACACTTGTCATTGGAGCTAACTAAGGAGGGTGGAGAGTGGGTGGGAACAGCCCAGATCTGCCATCCACCTCGAACTATGTCCCAGCAGATGACATAAGCCACAGCAGATACCGGCAAAACGCTTCCGAACCCTGCGTCTATTAAATAACCAAGGTCGAGCAGAACCTCCCGTCCCCATAAAAATAAGAAAGCAGATCCATTACGGCGTCTTTTGGCTTCAATTTCACATTTTGCCCTTGGTAAATAGTGACACCTATCTTAAGTCATTCCAGAGAAGCATGTGGTACGTTATCTGCTACCCTCAAATGGACTTGGATGCTCAAATCTTATTTAAGTTGTTCCCTTATCATGGTGTACTTCCTTTACCTGGAAGGTTCTGGTAATGAAACAACTCTCTCTGCAGGCTACCTGACACTTAGTTCCCTGATTTTATTTTCTTTGGGTATTGTGGGAGGGTGAGGGCAAGAGTTATCTGAGCTGTGAAACCCAACCACTATAGCTTACTTCTGAGTTGTAAGTCAAATTTAAAAGCAGCTCCTGAAGCAGCAGTGACTTGCAGAAACTCCCAAGTAGGTATGGAACTGAAGTATTTTCACGCCAGCCTTTTTATGACCTTGTCCTCCTCCTCCTCCCTCTCTCCAACCATAAAACGCTCTCAGATGAATTTTAAAAATTCAACTGAGAGAATGCCAAGTGTTGGCAAGCCAGCGCAGCAACGAGAAATCACAAGCCCTGCTGATGTCAGTCGGCACAACGGCTCTGGGAAGCTGACGTTACGGTAACAGCAAAAACTAGGAGACAGCGCCACATCCCTAAATGTCCGTCAACAACAGGATGGATGTGGTATGTTAACATGGCAGAATCCTACACAGCGGTGAAAATGAAAAAGCTCTCGCCACATGATAGCAAGTAAAGGCAGTAAGGCACAAAACATAAAGTGTCTGACTGCATTTACAGAAAGTTTGGAACAGGTGAGGCTAACTCACGGAGTAGACAGGTTACCTCTAAGGAGAAACAGAGGTGAGTTTATGGGCTCCTGATTCCCCTGGTGGCACATGGTGGTTTTACTTCATGCACCGGGCAGCATATTTACAGTGTGCCCCGTTTTGAAGATATTAAGCTGCACTTTTTAAGTGATGGGGGGAGGCAGGCATCGCAGTGAGTTAAGCCACTACTCTGGACACTTGCATAACCTATTAGAATGCCTAGGTTCAAGTTTTGCCTTTGCTTCCCTCCCAACTTCCTGCTAATACATCTGGGAGGAAGTAGGAAATGGGATGTCTGGCCCCTAACTTCAGCCAACCTAAGCCCCAACTGTTGAAGGCATCTGGGGAGTGAATCAGAAGATTTCTTTAATTTCTTTTTCTCTGTTTGGGTGTTGCTTTGCCTCTCAAATAAATGAAAATGAATAAACATGAAAAAAAAGTAATAGTTGATTTAAAGAAAAAAGAATTGTAAAGGCCAATGAAAAGATGATCAATTCCTAAAACAATCAAGGGAATGCTAAGATACAATTTTTTATCTTTTAGATCATTGAAAATGTTGTAGGTTAACTTTAAAAAGGTATCGAGGTGCAGGCATTTGGCATGTGGCATGTTTGCCATTTGAAACACCTGTAAACCTTATCAGAGTGCCTGAATTTTATTCCTGGTTTTGTACCCCAATTTCAGCTCCTCATCAAAGTACAACCCGAGAGGTGGCAGGTGATGGCTCAAGAACTGTGGCCTTCCTCAAACCATGGAAGACCCAGATTGACTTCGCAACTCCTGGGCATGTGGAGATTGAAACAATAGATGGGACATCTCTCAAATTAAAGAAAAGGGAAAAGCAAGAAAAGGAAAAAGAAGAAAAAAAGAGACAAAAAAAAAAGAAGTGGGGTGGGGTGGGGAGAGACAGTCAATCTCATACCACTACTGATGGGCACTGACAAATAGATACAACATGCTGCCACCCATCTTGCTTCCTTTGATGCAGTGACTCACTGTCAAAGACTCTTGGAACTACTCACACAATCACTGAATGACAGGAGATTGTGCAGAACCTTCTGTAAAAGTGAAAAACCCACAGACACTCTGCGTGCCCAATGCAAAGAGGAGTGGACGCTGGCCCATTCAGAGGGATGATAGGGGAGAACTTAAAAAAAAAAATTGATTTTTTTTTTTCTAATCTATCCCTTATTCCTTCCATATCATGTAGCACCCTGTGAGTTTTAGCCATCTCCCCTTTTGGTCCCCTGGATTCTAACTTGTAAATGAATTAAAGAAAAAAAAAAACGTAGGAGCTGGCATTGTGGCACAAGAGGTTAAGCAGCTAATTACAATGCTGGCATCTCACTGGTCTCTGATTCAAGACCCTGCTAATGCGCCTGAGAAGACAAGGGAAGATGGCCCAAATACCTGGGCCCCTGCCACCACCGCAAGGCAGACTTAGATAGAACTGCTGGTTCCTGGTTCAGCTAGGATTGAGCCAATGGATGAAAGATCTCTAGCTGTCTCTCCTTTATGCTTCTAAAAAAAAAAACAGCAAAAAAAACAAAACAAAACAAAAACAAAAACAAAAAAAACAAAAACACCAGAACTCATAAAACTGACTGAATCAACAACAAAAGTTTATCAGGGGGTTACCATGTTATACCGTACATATTCTAAAAAAAAGACACAACACATAAGCTCTCCATTATTCCTAGCTTTCCCTTTTTCTTTTTATATACTTGGGACATGGCTACTGCGTTTTGTTCAACAAGAATGTCCTAGTTTTGTAGTCCTTTAAGGACTTAAAATGACCAAAAAAAAAGAAAGAAAGAAAGAAAGAAAAAGAGCCCATAAAGAAATGTAAACCAACACTGACGCAGCCTCACCTGGCTCGGCCCCGGTGCTCTGCATACCAAGCAGTAATTCTCTCCTCCCACATTTCCGGCGTCATTTGATACAGATTTATTACCTACCAGAAAAGAGAGCAACATTAAAAAAACAAAACAAAACAAAACCCACACACAAAGGAAGTTTGGGTATTGTTAGCCATTTTTATAATTGCACATCATTTTGCCACAACGACCAAACTATTTTTAAGAAACTGCACACAGGGAGGCACTGCCACGAACACACACCGTTCAGTTGGAGGGCGGATCGGGTAGCTACGTGACCACTTGGGCCTCGGTGCACCCCTAAGGTGTCTGACAGCAGCCCCTCTTTCCTGCCTGGACCACGCATGCAGTGGTGGAGCTTGGTCAGGAGCAAAACTCACTAATCTCAGGCCCCTCCAAGCACAGGTAAAAGCAGTGGAGGTGAGCAAAGGACTTTATTACCCAGTGACAGATGAGGATGGCTATAAAATCGAAACTGCAAAAACAGGGAGGGAGGGCCTGTTTCTGTGGCTGATGATCAAGATGAACACCACAGAAGATTCAAAGCCACAGTGCCTGCCTCTGCCTCATCTCCTCTCTCCGCCCCTCACGCTGCAAACAGTTCCATTCCTCCAACAAGACACACACTGCTCCACAGGCCTCCTTTAAAAAGCGTTTTTAAAGAAACAACCACGCCAGGGAGACACGTTACAACACACATCTTGTCCTGGCAGCCCCAAGCCAACTACGTGAACCTTTGCTTTCTCATAAGACTTGATAGCAATTCTGCACTTTTCTCAGGCCACATATTTATGAAAATGCCCTGGTCTTGACCTCCACAATCCCTTCCAGTGCTGTAGGCTGCTTTGTTTACAACTGCGCATCTGCTGTGTTTTCCCAAAACAGAATTAGGCTTTCTTACCCTTTTTGGCAGCAGTTCCTCTTGGGCTAAAAATCCACGCTTGTGAACAGAGGGGTCGTAGTCGCCATACTGGAGGAGAAGAAAAGGGAGGGTGGTGATTGAGATTCTCCAGGTAACAGTCATTTCTGAAGGGGCAGTGGAGCTGAGCAGGGTTTGACTCAGTCTGTTCAATTCCAATGACAAGTCAAGATTTCAACCTTGCTAGTTTGTTATCCTTGAATGAAAATACACAAAGTTGATTCTATCTGTGAAGAGAGTTGCAGAATGCTGCAATGCTGTAAGGGATGAATGGGTGAGGTGTTAATAAGGATGTGACATGTGTATGGAAATGGGGTCATGTTTTCTAGCTCCCAGAGAAAGCAGCCGCTCTGGAGACATTAGCCTTTGAATTGAAACAACAGAACACAACTGTGAAAGTTGTCATTAGCAAGGTGTGACGGAAATCTTTCCTACAAATGCTTCAAAGTGGCTGGTAATTGGGGCAATTGCTAGGAGGGAGCAATATTTTTAATACTTTATGCTCAAGGTACTGAAAAATGCCTTGAGGAAAAAAAATATATATATGATGTCAACACTGTTATTCCTACAAAGAAAGCTGGAAATAGAGTCACTAGCAGGGCAGGAAGTGGGCTCTGATGTTTTAAATTTATTCCTCTGGAACCGGTGCAGTGGCCTAGCGGCTGAAGTCCTTGCCTTGAACGCGCTGAGGTTCCATATGGATGCCGGTTTGTATCCCCATATCCCCGCTTCCCATCCAGCTCCCTGCCTGTGACCTGGGAAAGCAGTCGAGGACAGACCAGTCGGCTTTGGGACCTTGCACCTGCATGGGAGACCCAGAGATGGCTCCTGGCTCCTGGCTTCGGACTGGTGCATCATTAGCTGTTGCCGTCATTTGGGGAGTGAATCATCGGACAGAAGATCTTCCTCTCTGTCTCTCTCTGTATATCTGACTTTCCAATAAAAATCAAATAAATCTTTAAAACAATTTTATTCCTCTGAGTACAACAGCTTGGAAATTTGTTCTTTGATTTTTAAAAAAAGTCTGACCTGAAGATAATAAAAAAAAAAATGTTTAAAAAGAAACGAACTGCGAAGCAAACAGGAGAATATAAAAAATCCAAGGTTGTTTCTTATCAGGAGTGGTTTTCTTTTTACCAAAAATATCAAAGCTTGGGTTTTAGTATCATTTATAAACATTTATCCTGTTGGCCACTCATACTGAGGCGGAAAGGAAGTTGGACACAAGGCCAGCAATTCTGGGCCCAAGTCAGGCCAGGATGTTGTCCATAGGGCCTCAAAGCAGACTGCACCATGTTCTTCACTTGAAGTCACTCACCAAACTGCAGACGTGGGAAGGAAAGATGCTCACCCCCCCCCCCCGTTAAATCAGCATGCATTAATATTGCTTTACGAATTTCATCATTATCATGTAAGTAGAAAAACTGCACTCCTCCCTTTTATTTTTTTTATTGTTAAGAAGATTTCTTTGTCAACTTTAAAAGTATTTGAATTATATCAGTGTCTGTAACCCTGCCTGGCATTTCTTTACATTAATACTAGAAGGGATCCGGTGCGGTAGTGGCTAAAGTCGTTGCCTTGTACGTGCACGGGTTCCATATGAGCACCGGTTCATATCCTGGCAGCTCCACTTCCCATCCAGCTCCCTGCTTGTGGCCTGGGAAAGCAGTAGAGGACAGCCAAAGGACTTGGGACCTTGCACCCTCGTGGGAGACCCAGAAAAAGCTCCTGGCTCCTGGCTTCTGATCAGCTCAGCTCCAGCTGTTAATGGCATTTGTGGAGTGAATCATTGGAAGAAGTATCTTCTTCTCTCTCCTTTTCTTTGTATATCTGACTTTCCAATAAAAATAAATAAATCTTTAAAAATTTTAATCCTTTTTATTATTACCATTCTATGCTTCAGTTCAATCCTGGGATTTACCTCATCCCCTTCCAAAGTCCCTCCCCGGCTCACTGAGTTTCCCTATATCATTGCTATAGTATAGTTCTTCCTACACAGTCATATATCCATCATTGCAGGCAAGGAAAATGGCAGAGAGTCCAGCATCTTATTGTCAAATATAGTAAACAGTTTCTTTGGGAATCCATCTTTGTCTGGAAGTACAGATGCACACTGCATTGTACTCCCATCTGCATATGATATTCTCCATTACACAGTTACTATATATCCCCTTAAATGAAAAGCCACAATACAAACTCAACAGTATGAATAAAAATAGAAATTTACAATGCCATGAAGTTAAATAACATGCTACTAGATATGCTAGTCTCCATGACAGTTATTATTTTTTATTGGAAAGGGAGATATACAGAGAGAAGGACAAACAGAGAGAGAGAGATCTTCCATCTGTTCGTTCACTCCCCAAGCAGCCACAACAGCTGGAATTGGGCCGATGCGAAGCCAGGAGCCAGGAGCTCTTTCTGAGTGAGTGCAACATCCCAATGCTTTGGGTCGTCCTCGACTGCTTTGCCAGGCCACAGGCAGAGAGCTGGATGAGAAGTGGAGCAGCTGGGATTGGAACCAGCGCCCATATGGAATCCTGGCACATGCAAGGCAAGGACTTTAGCTGCTAGACTACTGCGCCCGGCCCAGTAAATAGTTTTTTTAAATTAATTTTTATAATTTATTTCTATTGGAAAGGCAGAGTTACAGAGAGACAAGGGGAGATAGAGAGATCACCAATCCATTGCTTCACTCTCCAAATGCCACAACAGCTGGAGCTGGGTCAGTTTGAAGCCAGCAGCCAATAGCTTCTTCTGGTCTCCCACGTGAGTTCAGGGGCCCAAGAACCTAGGCCATCCTCCACTGCTTTCCCTGGCTCTTTGCAGGAAGCTGGGATGGAAGTGGAGCCGCTGGGCTATGAACCAGTACCCATATGGGATGCAGTCTGTAGGTTAGTTAAGGCCCCATTCTACATCTTTCACTTAGTAACTATGTGACCTTGGAAATTTTTGTGTCTTAGTTTTCTCTACTGTAAAATGGAGTACAGGATTCTTACAGGGATTAAATAAAATAATACAGTTTTAAGAGCTATCTTTGACATATAAAGTGACATTAGACTTTCCACTCTTTTCTTGTCGTAAGAGAACACAGAGGCAAGTAATTGATCTAGCAGTTAAAATACCCTCAGTATCTGTCACAGTTGTCTAGGTTTTCATTCCCGATATGGCTCCAAATTCCAGCTTCCTCCAAATGCAGACTTGGGGAGCAGCAGTGAGGGCTTGAGTAGTTGGCTTGCTTACACCCACGTAGAAGACCTGGGTTGAGTTCCTGGGTCCTGGTTCCAGCCCCAGCTCAACTCTGACTGTTGTAGGAATTTAGGAAGTGAACTAGCAGGTGGCTTTTGCTTTCCTTGTTAGGGAGAGAAAGAAGGAGAGGGAAGAAGGGAAAGAGGAAGAGAGAGGGAGAAGCTTGTTGGCACAGCCGATTAAGCCACTTGCACTGTCAGTATCCCACTTCAGAGTGCTGGTTCAAGTTGTAGCTGCTCTGCTTCTAATCCAGTTTCCTGCTAATGTGCCTGGGAAGGCAGTGGATAATGGTCCCAGTTCTTGGCTGCTGTCGACCACGGAAGAGACCAAGTTCATGGAAGAGACAGTGCTGGCTGTTTTGGGCATGTAGGGAGTGAACCAATAAACGCAAGATCTCTCTCCCTTCTAACCCTTAGCCCCCTGATTTGGAAACAAGATCCGGCATCTGCCTCCCAGGAGGTAATGAAAGCAAGGTTAGCCTGAACACAGAGTGCAGCTCCAGGTCAAAGTCAGGTACTATTGTTGTTGTGCCTGCCATTCTCGAATTATTTGTGACATGGATGGGCAGCGTTTGCCTACCTGAGTTTTCAAGGGGGGAGATGAAAAACAAGAAAGCCCTGTTACTTGCATCTGCAAACTCCTGAAACAGTGCTGACCAAACACTAATGCAAAAGTAAGCAGCAATGCAAAGTTCAAGTTGTAAATTCCCTTCCAAAGGCTTGCAAGATTAACGAGCCCTATTATTAAATTAGACCGAGCTCCCAGCTACTCCACTGATCAAACACATTAGATCTGAGAGATGCAGAGCTGGTGGGGCCCCTGCTGAAAGAACTTCTCCGGTGGACTACCTCCACTTACAACATTAAAGCCACCTTGATGTATGCCTCTGCTCTTAAATGGCTCTTTAAAAAACAAAGGAAGGGGAAAAAAAAAAACCCTAAGCAGTGGCAGTTGGTGAATATAAAAGAAAATCATAGCGCTTCATAGACGGAGATGGCGGGTCCTTCTCCTTTTATGTAACAGATACACTGGGTATGAATTTGCTATGAAGCTAAGAAGTTTGGTTTCAGGTCTCTACATCTGCCAGAACCTGTATGTCATTTTACATTCATTATTTCTTGTCTGTGGGTCAAGGAGAACTCCCTAAAATATATAAAACTCAGGTCCTATGAAACCTGTATCTACCCTCCCACCCCCAGTATAAACCAATTTTGGTCAGTATATTTACTATGTACAACCATTGTCATCTAATTCCAGAATATTCCTATCCCCCCTCCTACCCTAATACAAACCTTGCATCTGCTGGCAGTCAGTCTGCTTTGCTCCTGAGCCCCATCCCCTGGCAACCATTAAATCTGCCTGCTGTCTCTATGATGCTCCCAGTTCTGGACATTTCTTAGCAATGGAACCCTACAATATGTGGCCCTTTGAGCCTGGCTTCTCTCACTCAGCATCACTTAAGATTCAATTCTTATCCTTCAACCCAGTTGGGATACTTTTTGATATTTAATATAGAAAAAATATATATATTGTTTAGACAAGTATGTGCCCAAAGATGCATACACAAGGATCTTCACTGAACTCGCTTAAGCAACAGAAGACAAGAGCAGGAAAAACAAACCTTAATATTCACCAATACAGATCTATCGAAATAACTCTCGGGTCCTCCCTCCTACGAAATATCGTTCAGCAGTTAAAAAGAACGAGGCGGGTCTACCTGTTCTGACAGTTTTAATGAGAAAAGAATGCCTTGTGTGGGAGTTGAGTATAGCCTGATTCCACTTACATGAAATGTCCAGAAT